TGGAGAGAAAATGAAATCGCATCGCGGCTATCACCCTGGACCTCGGCCTTGCGGACTATTCGCCGCGTCTACTTGGCGATCACAAAATGGTTCCTGTTGGCCGTGCACTGCTTTGCTTTGGGTGTTATTCTGACATTCGAGTCTCAAAGTAGACTCTCCAACTTCGAGGCCTCTTCAAGAGCTGTCCGATGTAGCAAAGCTCTGGCAGACTACCTGAAATGGGTGTCGCATCCGAACTTTATTCGATTCGAACTCTATCATAGTCTTCACTTTTGGAAGATTGTCCGCGCGACTCCCGGAACCTATCAATCGTACGTGCAGGTTTTCCTCCAATACCGTGAGTATCCTCTGTCGTCTGACTGTAGCTCATCCTACGTGACTCATGCTGCAATCGCAGCGCGTAAGCAGACTCTGCCGTGGTCGCATCTCCGGCGGCGATCCTTGCAACTTGGCTTTCTTTGCGCTATGTGTCACCCTAAGCCAGAGAACTACAATGAACGCATGTTCCCCCGTTTCTCCGTTCCTGTTGCATATGCCTGATGAAAATCCGCTCTCCAGGTTTGTAGATGGCGAGCAAGATGGCCTTTTGCTCTGAAATTGGCCTTCTCTCCAGTGTGCCTCCTCTGCCTCAGTGATTCTGGACAGTGGTGTCATCATGGGCCATCCATATCACTGTTACGACGACCTATCACAACATGTTGGCGCGCATTTGACTGGTTTCTGCTTTGCAATACACATTCCGGTGTATGTGAAGGTATTGGCTTGTGAGAACGTACTGTGCAATACCCTCGGACGGTCCTGTATCGCAGCCATATGACTGATGTGGCATGCAAGAAGCACACGAGCACATGCGAAAGCTCTACAAATTATATCGAGATAATTTACCGGGACGTTGCACCCTCCTGTGCTAAAATCTGCGTCCATATCGTCTGGTGGGTAGAGGAGTTATTTGGCTTAGATGATGAGACCGTCAGTGCGTTCTTTTGGATTTAAGGCTTCACATCGCCCGGTGCGCATTCGCAACCATTCTATGATAACCGGCGAATGCTCGCACTAACCAGGATCTGGTCTGCCCAGCCCATCGGTAGCGATGAGCGGCTCCCACAAGTTCGGGACCCGGGACGAGCAGAACAGCTGCTCGCCAACACGCCATGTCATCGATATCGGTGCGCAGTAAGATTCCAGGCGCCAAGATCCTGTCACGCACGATGCATTCTTTGCATGAAGCGCCTGTTATCTTTAACATGTGGTGACTATGGGTGCCGGTGGATGCCCGCCGAAGTTGGTCAATTTTCTGGAATGCATCCGCGCTGGCCCACGCGAGACTGCTTTCCGCACCAGTAGGAACGCGAAGATGGAAACAACGGATCTACAGCCCTCCCTTTCGTTCGCGATATCCATACATCCGTTCTGGTAAAGCTCGCAATATATTCTCGCACGTTATACAACTACAAGAGCACTAGCGTTTCATCATTCGCTAATGAAAGGTACATTCTGTCAACTGCTTTTTGTTTTCCCACATATTTTGCGAATGCAACGGCAAAGGAGAATAGACGATTTAAATGCAAACATACTCGAACAACTCTGATGGGGCCCAGCCGACGTCAGCAGCGATCATGCTCCAGATGAGCCGCCGACGAGCAGGTACGCTGAGCAGACCTAAAGAAAGAAGGCGACTTAGAATTTCTCCCTCTGGATAGGTTTTATAGAAAAATGTACCATAAACTCAATCATCTAGTACGTTGTACCGATGTCACCGTACTTGATGTTCGAATAGATGACATTGGAACTCGGGTAGTCGGACTCGACGGTCGCAGGGACTCCGGACGAGGTCGAGCATGGGCCACGCGCCACACCAGGGTCAGAGGTGGATTCGTCCGTGGGGTAGTCACTGTCGAGCCAGAGCATGTCCACGGTGTAGTCGTCCCAGAGCGAGAGGACGAGAACCATACCGGCCTCGAACGCCTCGCTCAGCTGTGCGAGCCCGCCCAGCGTCTCAAACTCATCTGTGTCGCCGAACGCAGTCTTTTGTGCCACGCAGTAGTCGTCCGTGATTGAGTTGTAGGCGGACATGCCGGAGATGTCCGACTAGGTACCGGAGTGAGTCAATTGAGCACGGAAAGGAGAAGGGTGCACGTACGTATGAGTTCTCAATGACGACGTCGTTCTGCACGTAGAGGCGGCGGATCTCAGAGAGCGTGCCAGTCGAAGTGCCGTCCGAGGTGATGAACTGGGTGACGACTGTGAACGGGGAGGTCGTGTCTATGGTCATTCCTTCACCATAGAAGGTGGTGTTGCCCATGCGGTACGGATTGAAGTCACAGCCGTCTGTCCATTGTTTATAGCATGAGTCAGAATTGTTGCATAATAACCGGTAGCAGACGGACTGACCGTGGTCGCAGTACGAGTCGTAGCGTGTCCTGCGAAATGTTCGAATCAGCGATAGCAAAAGACAAGTCACCGCTAGACTTACGCAGTCGTATTACCGCACTCATCCGCAGTCGTGCAGATCGCCGGTTCCGTGTTGCTGCAGACGTGCGGAGTGAGGGCCGTCGCATAGGCGTTCGCCTCCCAAATATCCAACTCCATGCAGCAAGAGCCCATGTCACCGGTGCCGGTGTTCGCGTTGTTGGTCGAGGGAGTCCATCCAGCGACGTTTGCCTGCAGTGGAATTAGATGGCGAGCACACGCGCGAGTCAGTAGAACACACCAGGCCGCCGATGAACTTAAGATCCTGAGGGCATTGGGTGTCACAGTATCCTGAATTAATACACGTCAACAACTGTTCTTTGCGTAATAACGAAAGAAGGGGGCACTCGCCTGCTCCATACTTCGCGCCGGCCTGTAATCAAGATCATACATAAAGGCGAAAAATAATAAAGGTAAGAGGAGATCAGAGAGCCAGTCAGCATGCCACATTCGCCCGCATGTGATTGAAGTCACAAACGTTGTTGTTTGAGTACCTGGAGGAAGCAGTTAGCAAGCTATGTCACGACCATCTCGAACAAAGGCGTACTCGGATACACCACCATCGGCATACATCTATTATGAATGACGTTACGAGAAAAGTGTGAGAGTCATACAAACCAACGAAGGGTAATATAAACTTACCTGAGAGAAATACAGAGCACCGTTGAGGCCGCAAGGTAAGTTGGATACGTCAACAGTGAAAGTAAATTCCTGGTTCCTGAGGTCGAAGGTCTGATACGTGCTCTCATTCTGCACGTAGGTTGGCACGGGTTACAGTTGATTTGCTTGTCCACTCCAAGCACTAGACAATTTGCATACCTCGAGGAGGTAGAGACGTGAGCCCACATTGCTGCCGGTGACGAAATCGAGGGTGAGCGCATCACCGCTCGAAGTCACACCGTATGTGCCTGTCTACCGCTGTTAGACGGATCGAACGCTGAGAAGAGTGACGCACCCTGGTAATCGGCGCCATCAAGGTAGCAGTCCTCCGCGCAAGACGTCGGGGTGTCGCAAATGGAAGTGTCCCATTCATTGCCCGTGTAGCAATTCGTGCCGCTGTAAAGCGAGAAGGTCAAATATATCATACTGGGACGCTCCAACAAGCTCGCTCCCACCTCGAGTCGTGCACCCAGCGCCAGTTGGCGTCGAGCGTCACGCTCCGCGACAGCGTCGTGCATCCGCTCGAGGTGCACTGCTGAATCGTGAGCGATGGGTGCGTCTCCGTCGTGAGTGTGCCCGCCTGCTGGGCGTGCACAACGGCGACGAGGGAGAACAAAAGAAGGCTAGCGGCGCGATGCATCCTCAGTGGTCGAGTACACTGGGCAGGGCAGCTTGTCGATTGAGGGAGAATGCTGCAGGCTTATATACCTGCTCTCTGCCTCGGCAAGTGCTCTAACCGCACACATGACACTTCGCTGAAAGAAGATGGGGGGGCGCACAGACTCTGGCCTCGACGTCCCAAGAGCCCGCGAGGGTGGCATCTAGACCGCTCATGAAATTCGAATAGCTACCGCTGGACGTGGTTGAAGTCGCGTAAGGTGCCCTTGACCCATCAGAAGGAGGCAGTGAGGACCAGATTCCCACATTGCGAAGCGGATGTTGCGCGAAGCCGTACCCTATTCAGCCTAGGAACCACTCAGAAAGCAGGTGATCTTAACATCAGACCGGTTACCGCGCGAAGTCCATGAAGTGCAGGTCATGTTGGCGGGGCTAGAGCGAGGGTTAATGAAGCGACTCGCTCCCGAGACCGAAGAAAAACCGCCAGCGACGACGGTACCTTCGAATGCCCGACACCACCGACGGGGAACCCTGCGTCATTGGTCGCCGTCGAACGTAACCTAGAAATCGATGGATTCTGATGTACTGATTCGTTCACCGAGGTGCTGGTGTCTGCCTTGTGCCAAGCAGACTGAGGGTACTTAAAGCCAACCAACAGACTCGATGGAGCCAGCTGAGCATGAAGACTGATCCGTTAGTTGTCTATGCTTCACGACAGAGCTGACACTCAACAGAGGTTATCTTCGGCCCGTCGATCTAAGCCCGAGACTCGTGGGACAGCGTTTCTACTACAGGGGTGGACAAGGACATCGTTTCATTTGAGGGAGGCGCGAAGACCGGCGTGCTTCTGTTCAAAGAAGTGTCCATGGTATCTGAGTCATAAGGATCAATGCAAGGCCAGACAGATAGAAAAGATCAATCCGCCGTGAACGGGTTCTGTTGCATACGGAATGGGAATTTATGCCATCTGTAGTACATGCGCTTGAAGACAATCTGTCCACATGCAAAAGAGGGAGTACTTAGCGTATTCGCTTCTGATCCAGATATTGGTGAAGGACATGCACATCTCGCACGCATGCTCACCTCGCACATGCCTTCGGGAGCGCGTGAAATGGGTTCGTGTCTTCGCAAAGGCATTTCCTCCGTCGCCACCGTGACGACGATCAGCTGGCTTGACTTTCCGAAGTCTTTCCGATCAAGGTGGTCGTCCCTGGCACCTACATGCGTCGTCCTCCACTATGATGCTGCATAATTATAATTGAGGTTGTGCCACCTACGCTTCTCATATGGTTTAGGACATACGATTGAGCGACCGCGAATTGTCATGTGATCACTCGGCTCGCGCTCACCGATTCACCTAATCACCTTGTCCAACGTGGGCACGACCATCGCCCGTGAGATGTCCTAGTGCCCTTGACTCGCTTATTCCGCGTCTGAACGCACGTTCTTGGACTTCTATCGAAAGCGCACCATCGGATTTTAAAATCATGTTGCACGCAGAATGCTCTAGGTCATCTGCGTCGTTGCAGTAAACACGACGTCTTCCCATCGCCAGTGACGCGGCTGATGCCCCGATATTCAATCCTTCCCGTGTTCTGCATTGCTGGGACACCTGATAATCGTGGGCTGCTGCGTATCTTTGTACTGCGACCCTGGAATATATAATGGCCTATATCCATTTTCTTATGAAGAAATGTATGAGCTCGCCATACGTATGAAGGGAGGACAAGTTACCTGCTCGTCGGTGCCGAACCGCAGCTCAGGCCCGCGAGCCTGAGAATCGATCTGCCTGAGGCACCTCGTATCCGTTAACTGAGGATGACATCACCATATTGGTCCCACTGGCGATTGAGGTCCTGACCAGCCTCGTGACGAATCGAGGGCAGCGATCAGGGAACAATGCTTAATCTGCTGTATTCATCTCGCAATACGGATGCGAGCTTTCTCCGATCTTGCGCCGAACACCACCTTCTACTACTTCTGCCGCCGTAGTGTCAATTCTGTTGGGTCAATGCATCCCCTCGTTGATGGCGGAGATCACCGCCAGGATTGATGAGACATTTCGGCACTGACACACTCCCATTGGTTCTTTCGGGGATGTTCTTTGCAGGTTGCTTCGCAATACATAAGTGCAGTTGATCCGGCCAATTGAAGATCAAGAGAACAACTGATTGGAGCCTGGGCAAACGGCCGAAGACCGTTCAGACGGTACGTTGAGACACGTTCAACCTGCGTATAGCAAACAATGTGCGCAAACGCTGTCGTCTCCAGTTCCGCCCAACGGATACCACACGTAATTCGTTGCACGGATATGTGTACGTCCGCTGCGTCTCTGGACGTTCTTTTTTAGGCATGTTGGCGATATGTGCCTTTCAAGGACTACAGGGACGTGAACTGGCAGGAGCAGGAATACGACACAAATTTGGCTGCAATCGGGACGACAGCTGGGAGCGATGACCGCTTGGATTGGTGAGCAGGATTGGTATGTGTCTCGTGGACAATTCGTCATGACGTTCTACCACGAACATCCTCTTGTTCTTCAGGTGTTTTGCGAGTATGAGGATTCATCCATCACAGCGGTCACTTCCACTTGAACTTCTCGTTCACATTGACATACCCGGTCATCCCGCTGCATGTGCCTTGCTCATCTTCCTGGCTGCTATGTGATGCTAAAGCTCGCGCTTGCGCGTGTCGAGCGGAGCCGGTCGCTTCACCTGGCATTGCCTCGGCAGCTTTCTGCGTCCGCACTGTTCTGATATTCTGAGCCGTTGGTCTTCTGCCAACCCATCGGGCTCTTGGCAAGGCTATGTTTGTCATCTTGAATAGTTCCGAGAGAACCGTTAGCCAAATGAACTAAACGGTGATCCAGGAGAAACCACGGAGTATCCCTCGCACCCGAAGCATCCCGCCCTAGACCACATGGGGTCAGATGGCCACGGACGGATATTGTTGTCAGTTGCACGAACATAGCAAAAGCGGCAGAGCTGACCTGCGGACAAGCGCTTGATCTCGGCCTGCAGAGATTCAGATTCACACTGTCGGCCTCATGCTGAGCTATGGATTTCTTGGCCTGATACGACTGATTATGTGAGCATCTCGAAGGTCTGTGAAGTATAACATACCACCGACATGTATCACTTCGTGACAGGACAATCATCAGAGTACAGTAAAAGAGGAGAGCGAGTACTCCCAATGCATAAACGATAATGGCATCCCTACAAACCGACATCGAGTTTAGGTGGCACAGGCGAGCGCAGATGTCGACATTGACGAAGTCTGTCAGATAGTACTGCCGGGAGAGTGTAAACATCTCGTCACTCGTCTTAAGCTGACATCAAGGTTGGCTGGATGGATTGACGCACAAGAGCGGTCGAGTGTAGGTGACAATCTAACGAGGGTAGTAAAGGCAGGAGATCGCTTACTGCACTACGCATTGTCAACCTTATATCATTATCTCCATGAAGTCAGTATCTGATGTGTTGACGCCAGCAAATGACGACATACCCGCGAGCACGAAATCGTGCACCCTGATTACTTGGTATCTTCGCAGGGTCATACCAAGATGCATAGACATAGACGTTCCCCATGTCTGGTATGCGGTGATATTGATATAGCTGGCGTTGATCTCATTGGGCAGTATAATACTGGCGAGGCATTTGTGAATCAGTTGACGTAGACAACAAATTTGATCACAGACGCACAGACCGTCTCATATTTCATCGGCCCCCCCCCCCGGGAAAGGTTTCTGCAAGGATTAAGTGAGAGCGAAGATGAGTACAACTGCACTGTGCTCGCTTGAACTGCCTTCAGATCAACTGCCGAAGTCCTAGACCCAATGGCTTCTAGCCAGCCTGTATAAATCGAAGTATTCTTCCAGCATATCTGTGAAGCAGCTGTTCCGCGCTCGCGACACGAGAAAACAACGTTCCCGGTGAAACGAACCCCACTTGAAACATGATAAAGTCTTGTTTATGCTATGTGAATATGAAAATTGTATACAAAAAGGCCAACGTCTGAGAGTTTGGAAAAGAAACAAGTGTGGCGCGCGCCACAACCGCATCGCGTTGTCTAGGATAATCACATGACCACGAAGTTGGACGACGGGCAGCGTCGCCGGCAGCTGCGATTCTCACCGCAGACATAAAGCGATTTGCGCATGTGGCAAATGCTTAGCAAATGTCGACAGGTTTTTTGCCTTTGTGATTTCAATATGCTATGGTTCCTTCCCACATTCCATATCAAGTATTTGCATATAATATGTTAGAGGCAGAAATTTAAAATCATATATTTAAGAAATGACACCATTTTCAAACTCACCAAATACATTTAGAATTTGAGCGCTGTTGAATGTAATCGTACATTTTTGAACTCCAAACCATCACATTTTTAAAATATCCAGTAGCAGAATGAAGGTGTAATTACGGTGAATGACTTTCATTCTAGTAACCTTGGTTAGAATGACTTCAGTAGGGAAGTAGAATGTAGGCATAATTACACCTTCATCTGCTACTGGATATTTTATACATGTCATAGTTTGAAATTCAAAAATGTATGATTACATTCAACAGCACTCAAATTCTAAATGTATTTGGTGAGTTTGAAAATGGTGTCATTTCTGAAAATATATGATTTTAAATTTCTGCCTCTAACATATTATATGCAAATACTTGATATGGAATGTGGGAAGGAACCATAGCATATTGAAATCACAAAGGCAAAAAACCTGTCGACATTTGCTAAGCATTTGCCACATGCGCAAATCGCTTCATGTCTGCGGTGTCTCATCGTATCACACGGCCTTCTCTTTTTTCGCGATATCAAGTTCCTTCTGAAGTGACGATACAACTGCTAGCATTCTGCATATCGCTCTCGCATGTCGTTGGCAACACAGCTTTTCACCAATAACAAAGGCCCCCATCTGAAGGCCCTACGAGACTCGAGATGTACCCTCCGAGAACGCATAGCGAACTGCTCCTGTAGAATGCATGGGTTGGGCATTTAATTTAAAGGTGATGATTTAATGATTTACCGCATAACAAAATACGATAGAAACAATTTGACCAACTTCTTTGCATAGCACAAGTTTGCAATACTCTCTGAGATCTTTCCCGTATACCTCATTCACCCATCGCCCCCAGTAGCTGGTTCAAGGTGTTCCCTTTTGCTTCATCTGCCTCACCCAATATCTTCCCCGCTGCGGCCTCGGAGTTATCGAACGGTCGGGTAGTTATCGACAGGCCCACATCCCTATTCTCCTGCTTTGCAGCTGTGTCGGAGATGCTGCTTGAGTTCCTCGCCGCCAATTCATGACGTATGCTTGTGGATAAGTATCTTCGTTTATCAGATGTATTGTCATCCTGCGATCGTGTGCGAGAAGGTAAATGAAGGGGGGAGGCTGATGGTAGCCTCAATGGATGGTGACTGCCGCTGCATATTGGCGTCGGCGTCGCTTGTACGTGGCCCGTGCTCTTCTCGTGGCCAGAGTCCGCTGCAGTTGGTGTGTGGCTTGCGCGTTTGGCTATCGCTTCCTTCATCGAGCCAAGCCAGTTGAGCGCAGCTGTTGCTTTCAGAGCCAGCACTGTCTGGCCGGCCTGATGCTGGTGCGGCCTGTCGCTTCTCTTGTCCAAGCAGCGAAATGGTGTTGTGGCGCGCGGCCACGGGGTTCGTTGAAACGAGATATGGCTCATCTGCCGTCGTGCACGTGAAGCGCTGATTGTAAGTAGACAGTTCGAAGAATGTGGGTCGATGAGTATCTCACCATTCTAGTGCGCGGCCGCCCATCGTCAATATATGTGCTCGGGTCAGCAATTCCAGGGTCTGTATCACTTTCCAACACCATAGACACCACATTGTTTGGTCCCAAAGGTGAGAACAGGATTGATTCGGGCTCTGGCCCGAATAGCGTGACCGGCTTCTCCTCATCATCCAGGTTGAGTGGCTGTAACTAAACGGAGGTCAGCACATTCATCTTGAACCTCGGACATGAAATCACCGACAGTATATCATTGTCCTGTGCCGCATCAATCATGATTCCATCTCCGCATACTGTCCCACCTCCTTCAAGCTGACTCAGTTTCATCTCGCCCAGGATTGGGGAGAGTAACTCAGGCAAGGAAGCAGCTTGCTCGTTGCCTTGTTCGCGGGTCTGCGTAATACAAGGTAAGCACACAAATTGTCGCGGACATAGCCGGTCAGGCTGACTTACAGTTTGACCGTTCTTGGCCGTTTCAACTTGTGTGTTTGCGTAGGGAGCAACCTTCATGAGTGTGTTGTCGATAGTTGGTAAACCATCTAACCACGTATTTCGCGGCAGTCGTGTCGCAGTCCCGCTACCCTTAACATTGCGCAGATTCACTGGTGCGGACGGAGGCTCGGGTGGCAAAGTAGCATTGCGGTGAATATATGGGGTACTACCTGCTGTCGAGTTTTGGGGACGACGGCGAGACAAAGATTGTATAAGTACACGTCGTGCCGCTTTTCGTCCTTCGCCGAGCGGCTGGTGATACGCGGTGTGAGCCAGATACGTGGGCCATTGAGTGGAGTGTGAGGTGTGGCAGCAGACGAGTGGCGAGGTGAGAGGAAGAGCGCGACTTGAACATGGGCGTCTAGTTCACCACGGCTTGGCTGCCCACAGTGCTCCCGGAATGGCCCACCCGCGTGGGCCTGTGCTGATGGATTTCTCCCGTGATGTCGCTAGCGTCGCTCTGTAAACCTTAGTAGTGTGTTAGTGTTCCTCTTTTTATCTCGCATGCGTCCTCAGAGCCACCCGTTGTTCGTGCGCCTTTTCCCCCCATCTCTGACTCATGATTTGTCCTGTTGCAGTGGCATGCGCCACAGACATCGCCTCAGTCGAGACCCGCCTGTAGGTTCTTATTATCTGTGGATTTTTATGAGTGGCTGTGGGGCCTTTTCCGTCTTCTCCGTCACCAGATAAGAAGTCCGAGGAGAACACCTTTCAGTCGCTGAATTGAAAGATTGTATGGGCTAGAGTGAGGCGAGACCACAATGTGACGCGGCCTACATTTTCGAATCCCATCTTTCACTGCAAGGCTCGTGAACATCTGAACATATCGTTTAACTGCATGGGTGAGACGACCATCGTCGCGGACCTCCCTTTTTCGCCGAGGCGCCACACGAGAAAACACAGTTTCCGATAAAATGGAAGCCACCTGAAACATTATAAAGTCTCGTCTATGCTGTATGGGTATGAAAACTACCACGTTTGCGTGTACAAACAGCCAAGATCCGAGAGTTTGGAATAGAAACGACTCGTGTGGCGCGCGCCACAACCGCATCGCGTTGAGTCTATGAGAATCACATGACCGCGAATAGCGTTGCTCTCAAAGCGCCGAAGTTTTGCGCGCTCATATTGGATGGCCTACCGCTGGCAGTGCTGCGATTCTCTTTCATACGGTCTCCTCTAGCTTTAGCTTCGCGGTATCGAATTCCTCCCGAAATCACGATATAGCTGCTGGTATTCTTCGTCTCGTTATCGCACACTGTCGACAGCCCTGCTTTTTCCAATAATGAAGGCCACATCTGAAGGCCCTACGAGACTCGAGATGTACCCTCCCCGAAACACACAGCGAACGGCTATTGTACGATGTCTGGGCTGAACACCCAACTGCGAGGTCAAGATCCAATGATGAAAATATGAAGTTCTTTTGCATAGCACAAGTTTTAATACTTTCTGGGACCTTTTTCGTGCATCTCTTTTCTCCCCGGTTCTCCTCTCCCTCGTCGGTAGAATAAAAGACCACTGACTCGCACTTGACATCAGTACACATTGCCCTGTGCCTTCAGAAGCTCGTCTAAGCCGTGCCCTTGTGCTTGATTTTGCTCGCCCAGTATCTTCGCCGCGGCGGCGTCGAAGAAGTCATCGAACGCTCGCGTAGTTCTCGACCGGCTCACGACCTTGTTTTTTTCGCTCTGCAGCTGGACTGGGGATGCTGCTCGAGTTCCTCCCCGCCAATTCGTGATGCACTCGTGTGGACAAGTATCTCCCGTTATCCGACGCGCTGTCGTCCTGCGATCGCTTGCGAGAAGATAGGTGGAGGGGGGAGCTTGATGGTAGCCTCGAGGGATGACGGTCGCCCTTACGCATTGCCGTTGGTGTCACTTGCACGTGGCTCGTGCTCTTGTTGTGGCCAATGTCCATTGTAGCTGGTGCGTGGTCTACGCGCCTCGCTATTGCTTCCTTCATTGGGCCAAACCGAGTGAACGCAGTCGTTGCCTTCGTGACCTGGTGAGCGATCTTCGGCGCCGTCTGACTGGCCTGATGCTGGTGTGTTCCATCGCCCCTCCTGTTCAAGACTGTGGCGCTCGACCGCGAGGTCCACCGAGGTAAGGTGTCACTTATCTGATAATGTGCACATGGTGGCACTGATTGTAAGAGACAGCTCGATTAGACCTGAGCGGATGAATTTCTCACCATTGAAATAAGAGGCCGCCTATTGTCTATATGTGTACGTGGATAGGTCATGGAAGGCCCTGATTCATTGTCCAAGGCCAAAGAGACCACATTGTATGGTCTCAAAGGCGAGAATAGGATCGATTCAGGCTCTGGCCCGAATGGATCCGCCAGCTCCTCCTCCTCGTCATCCGAATTGAGTGGCTGCAACTATACGAAGGTCAGTGTGTTCATTGCGATTCCCTGGCACGAACTCACCGACAGTGCCTCGCTCTCTTCAGTCACAGCAATCATAATCCCGTCACCGCGCACTGTTCTGCCTCCTTCAAGTTGACTCAGTTTCATCTCCACCAGAATGGGGGAGAGCAGCTCAGCCGGAGGAATGGCTTGCTGATCGCCTTGTTCACGGGTCTGCATAACGGAAGGTAAGCACACAAACTGTCACGGACTTAGCTGGTCAGGCTGACTCACAGTCTGATCATTCTTGGCCGTTCGGTTTTGTGTGTTTGCATAGGGAGCAACGTTCATGAGTGTGTTGTCGATAGTTGGTAAACCACCTGCCCACGTGTTTCGTGGTAGGCGTGTCGCAATCCCGCCGCCTTTAACGTTGCGTAGATTTGCCGGTGCAGAAAGGTTCGGGTGGCAAAGTAGTGTTGCGGCGAATATATGGGGTACTGCCTGCTGTCGAGTTTTCGGGACGATGGCGAGACAAAGACTGCATAGGTACGCGTCGTGCCGCTTTTCGTCCATCGCCGAGCAGCTGGTAATATGCGACATGAGCTCCAGATACATAGGCCATTGAGTGGAGTGTGAGGTGTGGCAGGAGAAGAGTGGCGAAGTGAGAGGAAGAGCGCGATTTGAACATGGGCGTCTAGTTCACCGCGGCTTGTTGTGCCCACAGTGCCCCCGGAATGGCCCGCCCGCGTGGACCTCTGATGACGGGTTTCTCCCGCGATGTCGCTAGCATCACGCTGTAAGCTGTGGCAGCATGTTGTTGTTCCTCTTTTATCGGACGTAATAGCTAATTACGATTTTGTAGAATCTTGAGCCCATTTGATGAATGTCCCTCCCTATCATCATGTCTCTCTCTCCTATACGTCCTCAGAGCCACCTGTTGTCCATGCGGCCTTTTTTCTCCTCTGTGATTCATGGCTTATCTCGTTGGTGTGCTGCAGTGGCGTGCGCCACAGACATCGCCGCAGTCGAGACTTGCCTGTAAGTCCTTATCGTCTGTGGATTGTTTGTGAGTGGCTATGAGCCCTTCCCCCCTTTTTTCCATCAGAAGTTCGAGGAGAGCACCCCTCAATCGCTCGATCCCTCGTGGAATTGGAAGATTGTGTGCATTAAGTGAGATGGGGTCACAATGTGGCGCAGTCCATGTTTCCGAGTCCCATCTCTCATCACAATGCTCGTTAGCGCTGAACATACGGTTAGACTGCATTGGTGAGATGCAAACCGCCGCAGAGCTGCGTCTCATGCCACGTCTTTCAGCGTGCAGGCAGTTTGTTCGCATTTTTTTCAAGTGGTGGGACGCCTGGGACGCCCTTCGCGAGCCTTATAGATCACTTTGATCTGTATATATGTTCGCAGTATATGTGTGTTTCCCTGCGAATTAGTGTTGCACTTAATCCCGCACGCACACACGGACGACGTGTTGCGTGGGATGGTCCCTGTTTCATTCAAAATTCCGGGGCGTAAATGTCCTGCATCTCTAATCGATGCAGCTTTTAGTCCATTCTGCGGGTTTTACAGTCACTATAGTCATCTGCGCCGCTCACCTGCCGAGTTCTGGCGCGGTTTCACAGCCTAATTGGCAGCTGTTGCTGGGGCACTACACGGTGTCTCAGTCTCTAAGAGGATGATACTGAGTGTTGTCATAAGAAACAAGGAGAAAATCATAAAAAGCTTGATTGATCGGGTTGCTGAGTGGCTCTTGAGCACTCCGCGACGCCACCCAAGAAATGCAAAGTTTATGCCGCATTAGCTATGGAATAACAAAAATGCACGGCTCTTTATATCAATTCTTTCGTTCCTTTATACTTTCACGAAGTTGAGCTGAGCTAACGAAGAGTTTATTGGATATGATGCCATGCCACAACCGCGTCGCTCGGCCACAATCATGTCGCGTTGAGTCATGTGATCGCGACTCAAAGCGTTGGTCATCCGCTTTGCCATGAAACGGACCTTCGTACGTAGACACAGGAAGAGATATCTCGAACCATTGGTGAAAGAAGGATATCGGAAGCCTGCGCAAGAGCACAGCGGACTTCGATAGCCATAACCGGTCAAAAGTACGTCGTCAAACAGATGACGCATCGGCATGAACACTCGAGCTCATCCAAAGCCTGAGCATCGCAGATTGAGAAGTAAAGTATATCAATGCTGTTCCTTGCGTGTCAGCATGCGGTCCGCTACAATGCCCATCGATATAATTGTATGACCGTGATTACCTTGCAGCATCTACCGTTGCACTTGCGAAAATGCATGTAGTCTTCATGTCTTACATTGAGCGTATTGAAACATTGCACGATACATCACCGGGTATACAGTCATTAAAATCATACTGCGGCCCTTTAAATGCAGGACAGGTCATTAAGTGAAAGTGAAAAATCCGCCACATCAAGCTTAAAATGCTATCTCTCCAGCCTGCGCATCGTCAGGGAACTGTATTCATGTCAGCAAGATGTCAGTGACATGACAAAGAAAACTCGACAGCAACAAACCTATCGAAGAAACGTTCGGCGTCCACCACGTCTGCACCGGCGTACAAGGAGTATAATACACAGGCAACAACACCACTGGCATCCAGTGTGTGACCGAAGCTTGCGAAGGTGACCTAGCCTTTTGTGTTGTTGAGGCCAATTGAGGCGGACGCGAGGGAGGTATCGTTACTTGACTGCGTGCAGGATGTACCGACGCCATAATGTTGGTGTGACTCACTTTGCAGAACGTTCGCTGCAAACATTAGCGCATTCGCTGTGTTAGCCTAGTCAGAGTGCCACGAATAAACTCACCAATGCGAAGTCCCACAGTCTCTCTGATGTTTCCAGATACCACGAACCTCCCGCGTAGCTAGCGTCCGCGACCCTACGCCACAATGAAAGGTCAGGAGATGAACATTCGATGATGCTTAGACGTACTGTCGATGAATGGCGTCACATTCTAACTTATCGTGGTCGATCAACTCGTCCCGCAAGAGAGCTATGATATTCAAGGCTTCGGAATGAAGAAGCCGCGCTCTTCGATACTTCTTCTCTTGCGATTTGAATGGGCTGCTCGAGTGAAAGGATCCATCACTGTCGACTCTGATTATGATGTCGTGAATTGTGCTGGCAACGAGGGGCGAAGGCATGATAGCCAGATGAGAAGGGAGGTGGAAGGAGTTGTCAGAAACTTCGCTCTATAAGCAAGCCCCCAGCAGCCGCAACACTGACATTTTCGTCGTTGTGGACAGAAAAGGCAAGGGCGGGTCGTGCATCGCCTCAGATCTCAGGCACAGCAATTGCACCCAAAACGCGTTTCCAGGAGAGAGAGCGCGACGTCAATGCATTCGCTGTACGCTAGCTTGTAGAACGAACGTCCAGAAGCACCAAAGTGGAAGCTAGATGTTGTCAAACACAGTTTCACCGGTTCAGGTCGAAAAAGACCGTTAAGCAAGTCAGAATTATGGAGAGATATCGAGGACGTCAAGGCGCACAGCACAGCGAATGTTAATCAAAGACAGTGCAAGGTCTAACACGCGCAAGCAGTACCGGTTCGATGAGTCTAAGAACAGTGAGAAGGCTGTAGAGTTGAAACAGAGTTTCCAGCTGAGACTTGTGGTCGTTGCTTCGCTCAGAGCTAGTCAGGACTCAGGACTCAGTAGACGGAGATAGCCCCTTCAGACCTGCGCATAGTAACGTGATGACAATCCGCAGATGCCCGGATCATGCTTGAACGTACAAATTTTCCCAGATTATCCGAAAGTGTCAGGGAGATACTTTGTAGTGGCTGTGCTGACAGCGAGATGCTTGCACTTGTGACAGGTTCTAATGCGCACACTTTTGGAAACCTACAGCACAAGGCCGGTGAAGAAACCATAAAATCCGTGCATCACGGATACAATGGGCCTAAGGAGGTTGCGACTCACTCGAAGCTTGTATTCGTGACAGATGGCGAAGGTCGGACAGATCAGCATAGTAACAACTTCAAGGTTCGTAAACATCAATATTAGCCACTATCCAACGCCACCGACGCGTCAGTCACATGGTGGAGCGCGTCGCGTCTGACGCGACTGGTCACTGGAGAGCACGAACCACGGCTTATCAACGTCTTAAACCTATTAGTACTAAGCTTGAGGCACTTCTACTATAATTTTTGAAACGCAAGAGCGCATGGTGCGAGTTCCTCATTTCAGTCATGACAGCCATCGCGTTTGTATTGACGATTTGCTTCCATCCAAGATAACACAAGGTTCAATTGATAGTATCTGACCTTTGAGTGCATTCTGTCTTTTCATGATCTACGTGAGCCTGATTAAATTGATAGGATGACTAGAAACTATGTAACATGCACTTCTGACAAACCGTGCTCATTGCGAAATTCCTCCCACTCAAGCCAGTTCTGCTCCACCGCCCGATAGACCGGTTTCCAACCCAGGCATGTATGGAACCCGCCCGTCCTTTCAGTTGTCCAATTCCGCGCTACGAAGTCCCCCCGCTCGAGAGTCACATCCGCCGAGCACAGCGTCCATTGCCTCAGGTAGTTGAAGCAGTGATGAATGTGCCCCTGATGTACAGGAGGCAAGCTGTTCCAACCGTCCTCGAGTGCAGAGCGTATGCTGCGCAGACAATGGAGCTGGTGGCACATGGGTACTGCGAACATGCGCTTTTCTGGCCCGAGCCGGACGTGATTGTCGCCTACGAGTGGCGCCGTCCATAGCCACTCCTCGTACGCCTCTGGGGCCGTCAAGGAATAGTGCACGCTGTCCTCAACGAGGAGTTTGGTTGGTCCTGCGTCGACCGGGAACAACTCTGGATAGTCACTGCCGATCCATGCTTCAAGGCTGTTAGTTGTATCGAAGGCTCACTACAAACGGTACTCACAGTGAGCCTCCATCGGCTCTGCATGCGTCCATCTCGGTGTCCTACGCAGACGCTTGGCGGCCCTCATCGTGTCCACAACATCCTTCAACGTGCTGTTGCAGATGGCAGACGCGACAATCAGGAGGCAGAGTACGCAAGACAAAGTCCACGGGCTTGTCTGACCCGACATGATGGGGGAAGAAAGAAAGATGCGCAAGTCGGCGGGTTCCAAGAAGGTCAGTAGTCATGTCATATAAAATGGATGTGGTTATTCCTATCAGAGCGCCCTTCTTTGATGGAGCGGCTCTGCAGAACACGATGCGCCACATGGATTGCAGACTTCTGATCTTGATGCCGCGTGCACAGCTTGTCCCGGCAGCGAAGGCCGCCTTACTAATGAGCACATATAACGGATGCGTATTATTTGGCTCATCGCCTCACTCGATCCTAGTCAAACGGTACCATGTCATCGCTGACAATTACGCGCGTCGAACAACCCTCGCGTGAGCTCTGCTCTTCGTTCTGGCGATGCAGGCCAGACTGACTGTCCTCAGCAAAACTCATCGATGACTCCGTTAATCTATTCGTCGCCCTCATGAAGTCTGGTAAGGCAAGTATTCGTCTGAATGACAACGTGACTGAGGTCTGCCAGATCCCGCAATCGAGAGTCTCTGCGGGGGAGACGTCAGCCTGGCGGGTCCGATGGCCAGAGCGATGCTCAATGCAGGCGTACTCGCGGGGGAGTACTATGCAGCGCTCGACGAGAACGGCGAGCTGGCGGGTTTCACGCTCTGGATGCCACCCGGCCAGGAGATGTTCAGCACGTAAGTACTATTTTCCCGAGCGCTTCGGAAGCCAAACACCTTGTGCACAGGCAGGAACAACGCGACCTTGGCTTGACGGACTTCATGGCAAGGCTGCCGCCGGAAGGCAAAGAGTATTACAAGGACACCGTGCGTACAGCCTTCTCAAATACGTCGGTTCTACATAGGGCTGCTGACCACGACCTCTGCAGTACCTGGCGGAGTTCCCAGGCTTTGTGAGCAGCTGTATCGGGCCAACGGTGAGCATGGCTGTGTCCTTCATGCTAGGGTCGACTGTTCGGCGCTCATCTCTTGATGTCCAGGGTAAGGTGGATTCGTGGTGGCTTCATATGGCGATGGTCCGGCAAGAAAGACAACAGCAAGGGATCGCGCGGTCACTTATTGGGCTTGTTCGGGACAAGGTGCTGCATTGTTCCGATCTTCCTGCATTAGGGTCCGTCTGCTGACGAATAGCTATTGTAACAGGCCAAGGAGAAAGGCGAGACGCTCGCGTGTAGCACAACGACACTGACGAATGCGAGTGCCGTAATTGTGGCCTTCTGGCATCCCACAATTTCTCATGCAATGCTGTTTTCAGGCATTGGTGTACAAGGCTCTCGGGTTCGATCTGAAGGGCGAGCGGAACATGCCTTCACCGTGGGGAGATTGGCCGCTCTACGTCTTTGCCCTAGATACGAAGTCTTCTGATTGATGAAACTTTGCCCGAAGCTTCTGTATGTATATTATTCTGGCTCGGGGCGCCTGGAGCAGGTTTCGAGGCTCGAGAGATAGTCGGAGATAGCTCGAGTGAGCTGAGTATGAGGACTGGGCTGTGTTGTTAGACAGCGTGATTGGGAATGATGCGCGAGCTCGCCGATGCAAGTAGTCTGCGTGATGGGCGCAGAAAGGGCAAATTCAAAGGTGGAAATGGAAACGCCACAAGGTCGCAGCGCCGGCGCTTGTAATCGACCTTGTCTGATGGCGATGTCCACCATCCAGACAACTGCACAACTTGAAGGAAATCAAACTTCTGATTTTCGACTCTGAATATCAACGATTCCTTACGAATGGAGCATGGGCATCTTGCTTGAAATTCGATAGTTCATACTGCTATCAACATCATGGTTCTTCCTCGCATCGCTTTCCTGCCATCTTCCTCCGCACCGCCTCCGACCACAAGGTTCCTCAACCCTGTCGAGGACTTCTTCTTCTTCCAGGCTGTAGCTACCGTGTGCAAATTGCGCAGGGTTCAAGGACATTATGCACGACCGTAGTGAGGAAGTGATCGCACTGTTGGACGCAGGGTCTCGAGAGGAGGACGACACGCCGGAGAAAGGTGGGCGACAGTTCGCTATGGATAGCTCGTCGTCGTCGAGGCTGACAACGTTCGCCAGCATCCCATGCACGGAGCCAGTCGCAAACCATTATCTCCTCTCTACTTCATGGGACAACTGGCATCCTCGTGCTCTTCATTGTTCTCGACCTGATCGCCTTTCTGTATGTGTTCCGCTCCGTCCTAGCTTTGTCCGGGCCTTCCACGGATGAATTCGAGTTTCGAAATCCGTACATTGGGTTGGACGAGCTGTATGCATCGGGACGAGTGAATGCGTCGCGGTACGATCCCATCGTCAACGTGCCTCGCGTAGCGGCACAGGTCAGCAGCACCGAGCCTAACAAGGTCGGCGTCGAGGACGAGCATCGGTACCTGAGCAATTTCGGTACCATGACTCCATTGGATCGCCATCTCCAGGTCTCAAGCACGGTACGTACACCAGCTCGGTTCTGTCTGGCTAAGCTTACACGTCCTCGCCGTCCTCGCAGATACACACCATTCTTCAGTTCCGAACGATGGACTATGGCATGGAAAGCTGTGCGTTGGCTCTTCGTCTTCCCTCTCCAGAGGACAGCGAGTCCCTCCAGCTCGCGGAAGGCGCTAGAGACGTGCATCTCGACGTCTGCGCGCTCGATGTCTCACGTCAGCTCAAACCGCGCTCACTGTCATGGGCGACCCGCCCGCGCTGTCAAACACACGTGGGCACTCTCGTTGCCGGACCGGGCGAGGAGGTGCGGTTCCCCGAATTTCCGTGCAGCTGGGGATCCCTCCACACGTATGAGATTTCCTGCAGCGCAGACTCTCCCGATTGTCTAGTGGACGTGTGGGCAACCAGGAACGGGACTTGGGGTGAGTTATTGATTCGTTTGTCTGCACTTAGGAGACCCTGATCTTGTTCCAGGAATATTCATGTATCAGTACCAGACCGTCTAACAGACTCCGCTCACCAGGAGAGAGTCTGCGTTGTCAACTAGAGTTCATTGATGTTACTATTCATTTTGCCAATTCCGTGATGACAAAGCAGCGAACTGGTCGGATTGTACATTGTAAGAGATCAGCTGCGCTACGGAAGAATCACGACCTCGTAGTGCCAAAGTGAGTGATTTATATTGGACTAGTCAAGATCTCCCCTCGGAACTGAATTTCCTCTCAATCTATCAAGGAAGCAGTGTTCGCAGGAGGCCCCGGCGCAGTCTTGCGCGCTCAGGGCTCGATTTCGGAGTGCCCTCCGACAGCCTTCTTCCGGGCGGTCCATTGCTCTGCCCCATTCAGTCATTTGACTAATTCCCTAGTCAATCAAGACTCATTGGATCCATCTGGCGTGCTGACCTGACAAGTCATAATTCGAAATTAACGGAAGGTGCAACTGTCTGTTCCCAATGGTTACGCAAAGGATATCGCTACTTGCATAAAGCTTGCAGACATCGTGAGTACTCCGTTCATGCTCTTATAATTCGAACGTGATGCTGAATGATGTCGCAAGTGCACAATCACCCATGCTAATCATATCGTGTTGCCTCGATTCACCTGGTATCAGGTCTAGTGCAAAAAAAGTAGGTGACATATGGCTCGCATCCTATTGAGAGAATGGTGCCATCAGCTTCGAATTTTCGGGCCGCCTTCGAGACTGAATCAGTACCGAGCGCTGGGAAGACGGGTGATCGTCGGTTCGCATCAGTCAGTGGGATTTGATGTTCGTGTGTGTGTCATGCTCCACTTAGGTACTGTTCTGACAGCATAGCCATAGGAGATGTGTTCGCACCGGTGTGTACATCGTTGGCTAGAACACAGCCTCTACTGAATTTGCATTTCTCTCGCGGTCCGGCGACTTTGGATGCGCCCTGGGTGTCGGTGAAGTTCTGAAACAAAGAAGAAATGAACGGAAGATCTTTCGATGGTGATTGTATTTTTGACCTTCCGCTTAGGTTGGTGATCAACGAATCAAGATGTGGATTTTCCTCCTCGCTTCGATGTTCTACTCCCGATGTCCCGTTTTCTGAATTCAGACAAACAAAGAGCGATGTATACCACACTCTCAGAGGCACAGAACAGTGGTTTCTACCCATTACTATCAATGGGGTCACAGTACAAACATATTACGGAAATGATACATTCACAAGTGGGACCGGGGGTGACATCTTATCAAGACACAGGTACACGGCTAGAACCCAACAGTCAAACCGAAACATGCCCGCAAATACAATCCGAAGCGTCCGGACTTCTCTCAACGACAACTTTGAATTCGGGGGGTGCTCAACGGCAGTAGCAACACAAACATGATGATGATTCTGGAACCTCCACTAATGGGTTCCCTCTTCGGGCATATGCGCATGTAACGCGGACATACGCACGTCCGTCTGGGATAATGATGAGTGATATTCAATTTCTATTGCTCGTTCTCGACGAACCTATGATCAATGGGTCCAACAACTAAGCAGGAGACAGGAATACTGCATCAGTAGGCGATACTGGATGTGCTGCGGGAGGATGATGAGCCGTACACCCCCTGATTTTAGAGGCGTGCACTTGCCTTCGTCACGCCGCTCGCGGGGACGCAGGAAGACAGCATCTACAGGCGACGTCTCTTCTGCGAGAAAAAATGAGCCAAATATTGATTACGACGGTATTTCGGACTTGCCTGCGGCACGTCTCTCTGCGGGGCGTAAGAAGATGGCGTCCGTGGGCGATGCCCTTCTCTCGACTGAGAGGGATAAGGGGTTGAGGACCAGACTCTGACGACGATCTCGCAAAACCGACTCACCAGTGGCGGGTGCTAGGAATACTGCATCGATAGGCGATACTCCTCGAGCAACTATCACAAGGGACATGCCGGTGAGCAGCGTTGAATGATTACTGCCTTCTGACGTACCTTGTGCACGCCTGGCGGGACGAAGGAAAATTGCATCCGTAGGAGCGGCAGCTCGCTCCTCTACAGGAATTGCATAGACAGCAGAAAGAGCACAGGCGACAGCGAAGAGAGCGGTAAATACTTTCATTTTGACCGAAGGGGGGGGGACGTTGTGCTCACTCGTCCTACCGCTTAGGTCTATATACCCTCACGCAGTGGCTGAAACTCTTCGAAGCCTCTATGGATATACATATACAGTCATGCTGTTCTGTATTGCAGTGCAGCCGAACGCCCGCGCATCGTTGACTGAATCTTCGCCCGGTCCCGCACGGCAACTACTATCAGCGGCCAACTAGCGCACTCCGTTTCCTGATCATGATGGGTTCCGCGCGCGCGCGCGATTCTCGCAGAAGAAGCACATGCTGAATGGAAGTTGGCTGTTATCTGATGCATGATGCGTGAGTTCTGCTCTCTTCCGAAACGGGCAATTATCATCAGTGCATGTGGAACGTGCGTGTTCGTTTCACCGCTCCTTCACTTTCATGTCCTCGTCTGCCAATTACGCTGCCGTATCCGGATCCTTTATGAGCGTTGCGACGTAGGCTTGGCGGACGCAGTGCCACAAGCCTTTGCCAGCATGCGCCACAATGGACGACACGATCGCGCCATCATTCTAGAGCAGCTCTATCTTCGGTGAGTTGTACCCGTCCATCAGAAGGTGTCCAATGTACAGCCCATACTTACGCTATAACTGATGTCATTTATGAATAGTCGTTGTACTAGGGCGCGCTTGTGCCGTATTGGAGAACTCTGCGTTTCCGGCACGTTAGCTCTCGGGACGCCGGGACTGCCATCAACGGCGGCTGTCGGTCGCTCCTCGTGGAATAGTTGACAGTACACGGCACGTTTGATAGGATAGGATCTCTAGGTATGTGCGCGGCACTAGCATCTCGAGTGTTAGTCGTTTTGCCTTCACGGCGATGTACTTTGCAGGAATAGATCAAACGTTAAATTGCCGATGATGTCCTTTCATCGAACGCTCTGCGCAGCCGAAGAAGTGAAACTTGGTGGAATGTCCGCTTACAGAATAGCGTAATCCGGTTACTGGCGACTTGAGGCTCGTTTTGCAAGCCACTACGAGCGAACCTTGATCTTTACACTCGGGCGACCCTATTCAGCAGCAGCATCTTCGAGAAGGCAAGGCTACTATATTTCAATGGACAAGATGGTTTAATCACGGATGTATTATCTTGTGCACGTCAGAGCCCTCCGGACATGGATTCCTGCGCCTCTCGCCACTGAGCGTATTCCAGCTGGTTCCTCTCAATCTCCTTGTACACCGCTCCCCAATCCCTGCATTCATATGTCCCATACAAGTCGATGGGCGCGGTATTCGACGGCGCAAGGAATGGCTCTAGCTGTAGATCTCCACGACACAACACCATCTGCTTCACGTAGTTCAGGCAATGCCTCGCCAGCTCCGACCGGGCGCTCTCATCGTCCTTGTCGCGGTCGAACAGGAGCTCTTCGCGGATGACGTTCAGGCAGCGCAGCTGGTGGAACATGGAGACGGTGAACGGCTGACGATGGGGCCCGAGGTGGAGGAGCCCGGACTCGCCGGGGACGATAGAGGACCACTCGGCGATGCCGTCGGGAGTGTCGAGTTGGAAATGCATCGAGTTGTCGGAAGCCATGAGGACGTTGGGGATTTCGATGGGCCAAGCTTCTGGATAGTCATCTCCGAGGTATGCTACGGCATTGGAGCTAATAGTGAGTTACGTGTCATTGCACGCATGTTGTCGCCTTAAAGGGCCTGCTTACTGTATTCTCTCGTGACCTCCCACATAAGTGTCTTGAGCCATATCGTCGCGCAAACCTTCACAATGAGGCTGAAGCCTACAAGCGCGAAGCTGAGAGTCGTCGGTGAGGCATGTAGGCGCTTTACGAAAGAGCTGTGCATCCGTCGCTATCGAATTAGGAGACCGGCTTGCGATAGCGAGACTATTGCTAGTGAGTATTTGAGTGCTGAAGAATCATGAAAGACTCGCCCTTATGCTCTAAGAAAACAGGCTTGCTCGTTCACAGCCATCATCATGCATGGACAAGGTTCTGCCGACTGCATCGCAATCGCGGCCCCTCGGCGCCAGAGCGCCAGAAGAAAATGTAGAGAAAATGCACGGCGAATCGGCGAAAACACGTCCCTGATATCATCCTGCTTCGACTCCCACGTCCTTTCAAACTAGGAAATTCCAAATTCCAATCCTGCGGCTCGGGTTAGCCGACTTGCTTCATTCCATCAGTACGCGCCGGAGCGAAGCGCTCCATCTCCGCATCATGACATAGCAGCATGGCTCTGGAGCCGACGGAATGAAGGAAGCATGTGGTCCATATCCGGAGGACAGCACTCAATTTGTGCATCGACTTTCCAGCATTCCCCGCCGCTACTAACGGTGTGCGAGTAAGCAGCGCCGCTGACACAGAGGGTGCCGCTCATCGTGATTTGCTTCCGCGAGCGAACGATCCCGTACACATACTGCTGCCGTCCATTGCGAAACGTAATGCATACACCGCAGCAGCAGCTCCGACCTCCGAGATCAGCAGGACAGGCCAAGGCCGAACCACGATGCATGGGCAGTAAGGCTCGGCCTGCGCTAGCGCGGGCTCTTCTGTCAAAGAGCATATGGGGTATCCCCGTTTGACACCTCTACACATGAGAGGGAAACTTTTCCCGATGACTTGAGGTCGCTGCCAGTGCATAGCCGAGGCCCGAGGCTGTCTATGAGTTACGACTGTGCCCGTCAGGCACGACCACCATCCTCCACTACGTCCATCAGACAGCAGGGCGACGACGCACACGCACTGTTTGTTTCGTCGATCGTTTGGATAGCAGGGAACTGTACATAATCCATTGATAGCCGTCGCGCCCCGGGCCTGATCTGTTCCCCTCCCTTCCCCTCCTCCCATCCTGTGAGTATCGACAACCGCGATGTCCACCAAGGTCTTCGAGCATGCCTTTTACATCGGTGGCCAGATGAGCGCCATCCTCTACGGTGCGTCCTCCAATCAATTGCCCAGGACACACAAAGACCTGATGCAGATGCCACCGATCCTAATCACCGACAGGCGTCGATCTCGTCATGTACTTCACGACGATGCAAGCGCTGCTAACAAAGTCTGACGCGCGGCGGAGCGACCGGTTCTTCACGGTGTACAGCACGATCATGCTGCTCCTGCTCACGATCGACGTGTCGACCAACGCCGTGTGGGGCGAGCAGATGTGGATAACGTTCCGTGACGAGCCCGGCGGTGTGCCCGAGTTCATCGCGACGCAGACTGCGGTGTGGTACGAGACGCTATCGTCGACGTCCGTCGTCGCGCTGATTTTCATGAGTGATGCGCTACTGGTGAGTGGCTGGGCTCTGATGCGAGTCACGGATCAACGATGAATGGCTGTCGCAGATCTACCGCTGTTTCATCCTCTGGGGATCCCGCTTGGTCATCATCGTCCTGCCAATTCTCGTCTACCTAGCCGCCTTCGGTGCGTCCCCACCCTTCCCAATCTCACGCCCACTCACGCCTCTCCAGCCCTCGCCATCTGCGAGCTCGTCTCCGCAGGTGTCCCGGGCGGAGACTTCTTCGCAGGCAAGTCCGTCAACTTTGGCGTGCCCTACTATGCGCTCTCAATCGCGCTCAACATCTGCCTCACGCTGCTCATCTGCGGGCGCCTCGTCTACCTCTCGCGCTTCGTGCGCGCCGCGATGGGCAGGGAGAGCGCGCAGCTCTACACGGGGCTCGCGTCGCTCATGATCGAGAGCGCAGCGCCGTACAGCATGCTCGGTATCATGTTCCTCGTGCCGTATGCGCGCGGGAGCGACGTCAGCATCGCGTTCGGGCAGGTGTGGGCGAAGCTCACGGTGAGTGCCCTCGTGTGCTTGTTCGTGAAGCGGGATGGGGTCTGATGCGGACACGTACCTGCAGTGTCTCTCGCCGCAGCTTATCGTCCTCCGCGTTGCGACGCGTCGCGCGTGGGACCGCACGACGATCAGCCAGGCACAGAGCATGCAGTTCGCGACGGGGGCGACGTCGACCGTGCAGCCGTCGACGGGCACGTCCAAGTCGGATAAGGAGGACGAGTTGTTGCCCATTACGTTCTCGACCGTCGGCGGGAACGGTGCAGCGCTGTTGAGCCCCGTCTCGGATCAGGGCTCTGGAAAGTGGAGCAGGAGCGGTGTTGGTGAGGTGTAGGGCGGATGGGGTCGAGGAGGATTTGTCGCTCGCTTGTTTCTTTGCTTGCTTGAGGTACCCAGACATCTTACTGTAGGCCTGTTGTACTCAGTATTCTTGATGATATCCTGCTATGATCGATATGCCTATATAACAATTTGAATGCACCCAGAGTGAGCAAAATATACACTTCGATGTTGTACATAGTAGTATCCTTCGTCGATCAAGAACACGCGAGGATCCGCAAGTAGACGAATTATATGGTACGCAGGTTCGCCACGAGCGATAGCGGGTGTGAAAGAGGCGGAGAGGTGGAGGGCGCTGGGAGGCGAAGCGTTCATGAGAGGAGGACAAATATTGGGCGAGACGACGGGCATAACGCCTATGAGTTGGTGGGGGCGCTTTCAAGAGGACCCTTGATAATCCCTATGGGAGGCCAGTCTGCTGTCCGGATATGAGTAGATACTTCTGAAGCCCGCAAGGTTGTGGATAGTTATATCCTAGGTACGCTACGGCATTGGAACGAATAGTAAGTTACGTCTAACAGCACGGATGATGTCGCCTTGAAAAACGAACCCGCTTACTATATTCTCTCCTTACCTCCCACGTAAGTGTCTTGAGCCATATCATCGCGCAAACCTTCACGATGCGAGAGAAAAGCTGAGGGTCGTCGGTGAGGCGTGTAGGCGCTTCACGAAAGAGCCGTGCATCTGTGGCTATCGAATCAGGGGCAACAGTGACTATTGAGCATGCGCGACTCACCCTTACGCGACGCTGTAACGGAACAGGCTCGCTCGCTCGCAGCCATCCTCATGCAAGGACAAGGTTCTGCGGACTGCATCGCAATCGCCGCCCTCGGCGCCAGAGCATGCATCATATGTAGAGAAACCCATGGCCACGTCGAATCGGCGAAAAACACGTCCCTGATATCATCTGCCTCTACTCGGGCCCCCATCCTTTCAAACCAGCAAATTGTAAATTCTAATCCTGCGGCTGGGATCAGCTGACTTACTTCATTCCATCAGTAAAACGCGCCGGAGTTGAAGCGAACCATCCACATCGTGGAGGCTCTGGAACCGAACGGAATGAAGTAAGCATGTGGTCCATATATCCAGAGGACAGCAATGTAGTTTGTGATTTGTGCCTTGAATGCATGCACATGATGCCCCGATCGTAGTCACTGACAGGCGTCGATCTCGTCGTATGATATACACTTTAGAGTTGTACGTAGCAGTATCCTTCGTCCATCAAGAACGCGCGAGGGTTCGCAAGTATACGAATAGTATGGTAGGGAGCTCGCCAGCGAGCAATAGCGGGTATGAAGGCTCCTGAGAGTCCATAGGTAGACAACTATACTTGCGTTAAAATGATGGCTTGCGCAGAGTCCACGGGTGCGTCTACTGCCAGAGATCACAGGTAGCGGTCCGTCACCAACGCGTGCCGGCCCCGGATGTTCATGAACGAATACTAGAAGAACCGCTCCGTCAGCCACACACCAACTCACCGCTCGCCCACTCACCTCGCTCAGATCCGGCCTCACGCCCTTGATCAGGTTCACGTACACGAGATTCGGCTCGGCGAAGAATGGGCGCAGGCCCGCAGCCTCGAGGCTCTCCCACCACGAGTTGAACCGGGCGAACGTGTGGTACCCACTGTCCGGGCGCGCGTGGAGCTCGATCTGCAGCTGGCCGATGGGGAGGACGGGCTGCGGAGGTGGGGGAGGAGGGCCGTGTGGGTGCCGTGGAGGGGGAGGGAGAGCTGAGGCGTTGGCCCGGGTGACGTGGTCGATGAAAGTAGACAGCGCAGCAAATTCCGCGCCCTCGATGTCGATCTGCGGGAGTTGGATTAGCGATACACAGGCGAGCAGCACGCGACACGCACCTTGAGCACGTCGATGAACTCGTGCCCGTTCATCTGCATGAGGCTCGCAAGCGACCACACCTGCGTGCCGTCCGCCCACACGCCGTCCTGCGGCCCCAGTGCCCACGGCGCAAAGTGCGCCCTCGCCCTCAGCTCCTCGTCCTGCTCGATCTCCGGCCCAAACGCGCGCACGCTAAAGTCGTATCCCCACACCTGGCATCCGGGCACGGCGCGCAGGAGCGCAGCCTCGAAGGAAGACTCGTTGTTCACCCCGAAAGAGTAGACGACGCATGAGGGCTGCGCTGCGAGCCGGGCGAGCCCGCAGAGCCACTTGCCGCCGTCGCCGAGGGTGCCGACGCGGTCGACGCGGTGCGGGCACTGGAAGGCGGGGATGTAGAAGTCCCAGAGGGTGTAGAAATCGTCGCGTAGTGGGAACCTGGTAGTGTACGGGAACTTAGGGTCAGCGTTAATGCGGGCGCGTAAGAAGATAAGAAAGCGCACGCCTCTACGCGCTCGGGTGTGGGCCCCCACTTGCGCACCATCATCTGACGCTCACGCAGGACCTGTTCGTAGCGTGCCTCCTCCTCCATGACTGCCCAGCGTGTTGCATCGACGCCCCTGCCTCTGCTGAAGGAGCCGCCGTGGCCATTTGGGGGGCCTGGCGGGAAGAAGCAAAAGACGAGGAGAACGCTGATGACTGTGAGGGCGGTGAGCAGCGGATGGCGGTAGAGGAAATGCTTTGGCGTCATTCTGGCTGCCTAGCGGGGTATGCAAGCGAAGGATGGAGGCCTGTTGAAGTCGGAGAGGTTGAGAACGGTGGGCTAGGGGAAATGTTAATGAGAGGAGTTGGGCGAGACGACAGGGGTAACGACGATGACTTGGCGGGGGCCCCGTTTCATGTCAGCCATGCTCGTCGTCTGCAGCGACAGCTCCGCTCACCGAGCGCTGTTTCTAGAACCCCAGTTGCGCAGCGCAAAATCCCCGGGAGACACTCGTGGTTTGCTCGAACCCTCTGAGTCGGTCTCTCGGGTATTCATGATTTTGATGTCTATCAGGTTATCAACCATGCCAGGATTGACGGCGACACGACGCGCTCAACGGAAAAAATAATGAACACTGGATTCATCCTTTCGGAATGTGACGTGAAGGCGGGGACCACCTCATCTGCGCTTCGGTGAGCTACGCGATCACTAGCACCCCTGAAAGAAGTCCAGCCGGCTTGTAATATTATTGACATACGCGATGATCAGCGTAGAACAATCGCACGCCTCACTGCCCTGCCTCTTCGCTTCATGTTTCGCCTCTTCGCTGCTCAACGCTTGCTAGCCGACTGCTAGAGCGACTACCCAGAATCGCTGCTCGTAGCAAGTTGTCCTGTCGAGACGGCACCGTTCAATCTGTAGACGCCAGCAACCAGATCTTTGCTTTCTTAAAGTTCCTGCAAGCCGGAGAATGCATATACGTTTTCCTAATCTTGCCATGCTCGGAGAATGTGAAGGCGATGATTTGTGCTTGTGGCCACTCTACCAGCCTCTCTTCCAGGCTTTATGATGAACTTGTCTTTCATCACCCACCCAGAGCTTTCGCCTCGAAGAGACTCAAAAAAGCGTGAAACGTCGCCCTCCTCAGCCTCTTTATTATCGCCATCCGAGAGGCAGCGGATCGTCGAAATAAGTTTTCGCTCCTGAGTAACAAGGCGAATTGCCCTCTCAATCGCAGGCGAAAAGGATAGCAACATAAGACACATCAAGATAGGTTCGAAAGAGTAGACGACACACGAGGGCTGCGCGGCGAGCCGGGCGAGTCCGCAGACCCACTTGCCGCCGTCGGCGAGGGTGCCGACGCGCTCGACGCGGTGCGGGCACTGGAAGGCCGGGATGTAGAAGCCCCAGAGGATGTAGAGGACGCTGCGCGACGGAAACCTGGCAGTGGATGGCATACTTCTACACTGCTCAACGCTTGCTAGCCGACTGCTATAACGATTACCCAGAACCGTTGCTCGCAGCAACTTCTCCCTTCGGGATGGCACCGTCCAACATGTAGACACCGGCAATCAGGCTTTTACTCCCTCAAAGTCCCTGCAGACCAGAGAGTGCACATCCGTCTTCCTAATGTTCAGAGACTCTGGAGAGCGTGAAGCGTCTTGCCCTTCTCAACCAGCAGATCATCGACCGCGCGGCTGGGTACCCGTGCAAGACAATTTCTGCAACTCAGCTTGCAAAGTATCTATATCTCCCTGTTGGCGAATTGCCCTCTCAATCGCAGGTGAAAAGAGTAGCTACATAAGACACATCGAGATAGTTTCAAAAACAAGTCCACAGATTCCAGTCAGAAACTAACAACGACCGACTCCCCATCAATCTGCCTTCAGACATCAAACTGGAAGTCCTCTTCCAACCCATCAAGAGCGTCCCCACCAAACTCGATCAACGCGTCCTCCTCTGCTATGGCTTTTGTCACCCCGCCAACCATACCAGCCGGCGCAGCAGCGGAAGCAGCCTTCATCCTGCCCAACCCGCCTTCTGTCCTGCTTCTTGATGCCTCGCCTGCAGCCTTTGTAGCCGGTACCAAGCGACCAGTGACGCTCTTGCTTTGCGTGGCTGTTCCTGTGGACCTTGTCGACCTCGCTGGTACGTTACCGACCGCAGCCCTACCAGAAGGTGTCGCAACGGCTGGCCTTCTAGCCGCTACTGTACTCGACTTTGTCGCACTCGAAGGAATCACTCGAGCAGCGGGCACCGCAGGCTTCCTCGCACCAGTCACGCTGCGTGCTGCCGACGCCGCAGTAGAGCGCGTGAGCCGGCTGGTCGTGCTCGTGGCAGTGCGAGTGGACGTCGTAGGCGCTGGCTTGGCAGCGCCGGCGCCGGCGCCGATGGCGGATCTGCTTGTGCTAGTGGAAGTGGCGGATGCGGAACGCGTCGGGATGGTGGTCGTCTTGGTCGTTCGCGAGGGCGCGCGGGTGGGTGGACCGCTGGTCGCTGATGGCGCGGAGGAGATGGCGGAGGGTGGGCGCGTGGGTGGCTGGGGTGTAGATGTGGGTGGCTGGGGTGTAGGTGTGGTCGTGGCATTGGACTCTGCTACGCTTGATGGAGAGAAGAAGATATCATCCTCGTCATCTGTACATAATAGTTTATCGATATGAGATGTGACTCATGAGTAGACCACTGACGTACCGAGCTCAGGAAGTTCGAGCCTTTCCCATTTAGACGGATCCGCGACGAACCCGCTCGCGAGCCATACCTCTTCCGAATCGATCTCGATCTCGATGTCCGCAGCATAGTACGCATCCACGGAGTCGTCGAACTTGGGGCAGTAAGCCATTTCCAGTAGGGTCTTACCAACCACACTGTAATCGGGCATCTCGAACGGGGGCTCGTACGGCGGGACTGCACACGAACAATCATGAAGCGCACCCGCAGAACCTATTTGCGCCAAGGCACTCACTGATCGCCGTCGGGGGCATGTACTCGATCTCATCATAGTCCTCCTCCTGCACCTCGACCTTCTCTTCCTCGGCCTCCGCCTCCGCGACGCTCACATCCCCATCGCTCACATCCCAGTGGTTCCCCGTCGTGATCGGCGTCTTGAAGCAGTTGCCCACCAGACTCGGCCGCGGCGCGCGCAGGCTCTTCCGCGCGGACGACGGGCGGAGAAGCGCCCCGGGACTGATGGCGGGCTTCGCTGGGGTGTCGTCGGCGTCGAGGAGGGACAGCTTGGCGAGCTTCCCTGTTTTGGGAGCCGGGCTTTCGAAGGGCACGGCGGGCGCGACGCGGTTGGGGAAGGGCGTCTTGTCGCCGAGCGGGCGAGCGATGCGCACCATGGGCTTGATACTGTTGCTCAAGGCCTTATGGCTCTCTACAATGGGGTCCTGTGAGAGAGAAGCTAATGCGATAGAGCAGTCAACTCACGGACGGTCAGCGGCCGACGGGGGGTTTGCAAGCTCTTGCCCTTTGCATTGACTGTCATGCTGAGGCCGTAGACGTTTTCTTGAGGACCATTCTTGCCTTTCAGGCCTCTGGCTGGGGTCTTGAATGACGGACCATCTCCATGGTTCAGATCGAGTGGGCGTGAGCTCAGCATTGCTGGGCGAAGAGAGCAGTGAGGCCGTGAACAGGAAAACGTGTGGGATCACCGCCAGACACAGTCGGGGGCGATACCAAAACAATGTATATTCTCCAGGAATCAAAAGTAGTTTTTCGTTCGTCGTGATTTGGTTTCAGAGTACAACGAATGAACAGATCAGAGAGAGTCCAGCATCAATATTGACCTACAAAAAAACAAGTCGAAGACAAGTTCGACTTCGGGCGCTTGAGAAGAACGCGGCCAGCACGTGATCGCGCTATGGGCGGCTATTAATTGCGGCCACCGCAACCATTCAGTTGGGCAAACCCATTCAGTTGGCCCCTCCCAGGCTTTCATTTCGAGGACTGCACCCGTCGATACTTCATTCACTCACGTAAATTTTATTTAGCGGGTAAAATATCGCGCCGAGGTGCGCTGAATACTTTTACACGGTGAAACGACTTCTATTAATAATGATGTTGGGCAGATCGAGGTTCTGATCAATTACTTTGCTTTCTGCCTGATCTTACTTTGATATACGAATAAGAAGACGGCCTCCCGCGAGTAACATCCTGCGATATCGCATATCTGTGCCACCCATGGAGGGATCCTCGGAATCCGCTCCATGCAACATGTGCAGCGAGAAGAGGTCTGGGTGCAAAGCTGAGCGTCGGACTCTGCACGCTCAGGCTCGAACGCGTAAGGACAAGGGCGCGAGGTCCGCTTACTTCATGCGAATGCACCCGGTTAAAATGAAGCTGAAGTCTCCGACGAGTCACGACGACTTGCGATATTTGTCCAGCTCGCCCACAGTTGCGCGACCCTGGCCTGGTGTCGAGAGAAGATCATATCCGAAATCCTCTGCGGTCGTTAGAGGATGCCGAAGGTCGGTTCTTCTCTGCCCTCGAAGGATATGGTGAGAGTGCGGGAATAAAACATATCTATGATCTTATCCGTCTGCCACTCAAGAATCTGGCTCGCTACTGGGTTTTCCTCTGACATCTCGCTGCATGTGTTGACCTCCATTCGTGCTCGATCAGCGCGTAATTGGAGGCATGGGCACTATCCCCACCGCTCACGGCGTGTTGTGCAAATCACGTCCGGCTTTGTACCATGTAGTAACAAACCTCAACGATTGCCCAGATGTATGTGACCTCTTTTCCAGTGACCCTGTGCAGCCACTGACAATTTTGCGCGATATAGGATGACTTATCTCCTGATGAACTGAACGTACTATGGTATAAATATGTAAATGAGAATGGGGCAATCAGTCGTACGCGTTTACTGGCTTGACTGCATGTTATATTCACCTTGTCCTCAATTTAGCCTTCGATGATGCCGAATGCTCTCCGTCGCCTGGCTCTGACTCTGCATCCTGCAGCGTCTCCTCCCCATCCACCGATGCATCCTCCCCATCCACATACGCGTCCTCCTCGTTCATCGATACGTCTTCCCCGCCCCCCGACGCGTCGAGCGACATCCGAGCTCCCATCCCCAAGCCGCAAGATGCCACCACCTTCGACTTCCAACCCGCACCCATCATGTACTCCGTATCCACTGGAGAGCTGCTCGGCGTCCCCAAGCTCGCCGATCCCACTCACATCCCGCGCATGAGACGCATCTACACGGGCACTGGCAAGCCCGCCGCCTGCGCGTTCTGCCGCAAGCGCAAAATCGCGTGCAGCCGCGCTTCCGCGGGCTCGGGCTCAGGCGACAGCTCGTGTTCGTAAGTATATAAATCTCTCTTTGTGGATGCGCGGGCGTGCTGATGGTGGGCGGCGGTGATGCAGGGCATGCGAGCAGCGCGAGCAGACGTGCGTCATGCCGGAACCGCGCCGCAAAAAGCTGCAATTCCAGCAGGTCCACTGTGCGTGGGATGAGTCCCGGCATGCTGTGACCACACTTAAGGCTTCTTCGAAATGAGGTATCAGTGCGATTTTATCTCTTATTACGTCTTGCTCTGCTTTCAGTGTGCTCTCGCAATCCCATCTGCATCTGCTTTGTCTGTGATCCCGCACGTCCGTACCTGCTGTGTGTCGCTTGCTTTATCGCTGTAGCTATTGCTGTCCATCGTATATACAAACGCATTCATTGTTCTCAGAGATGTAATCTATAACAACGTGTGCAGAAACCCAAAAAAGGCGCGAAATGACTATATTACAGCAGATAGAATGCAGACGTGAAAACACCCCAAGATAGATACAATCACCATCAAAGCAGATCTTACATTTAGCAATAGAGCTTCGATTCGCAAGAAACAATGATCGACCATCACCTTCATCGGCGGCTCGTCTTGGCCGGCGAAGCATGCAGCCTCGCAGACCTGCGTACACCCCTCGGGCTCATCGACGCACTCGCCTCCACCTTCTTTCGATCCACCTTTGCCCGCTTCAAGCGTTCAGCCGCGCCCTCATCGCCCACCTCGTGCTGGCGCACAGCCGTGTACCTCGCGCCCCTTGGGGGCGCGAACGGGACCGTCGCCTCAGACGCTCCGTCGCTGTCCTCCTCCGGGACCGCCGCAAGCACATCCACGCCCGGTATAGGCTCTCCGATGGGCTCCTTCGGAAGCGCCTCCTCTTGTTGCGAGAGGATCAGCGCGCGCCGCTGCAGCGGCTGGCTGTGCGGATAAGCGCCGGGGATGTCGCCGAACTGCGATCCCGTGACCTCGAACGTCTCCTCCTCCATCGGCTCGTCCTGTGCTTTGTCGTTGTCGTCGTCGTTGGCGGTGACGGTGTGCATGGAGGCGTCGTCGGCAATGACAGGCTTCGGGGAGGCGGTCCTCTCGCGATGTTGGTGTCTCGCGACGATGCGCTCGAGCTCGAGCCAGGGGTGCTCGAGGGCGGCTGCGGCGGTCATGCGTCGTGCGGGATCTCTCTCCACGAGGCGACGGATGAACCTCTCCGCGACTGTATATAGAGGTGGATTTGAGTGTCATGCTGCAGGAGAGAGAAGGAATGGCGAAGGCTTACGCTCGCTCGAGCAACACTCTCGGAATGTGATCCAGTCGACTTCTCGCCGCATGACACGGTCGCGCAGGTGGCCTTCGTTGTCGTCCGGGAAAGCGCTCTGGCCCGTAAGCCTACCTCTGGGGTCAATAGTGCACGCGCGTGTACGGGATGAGGGGCGCTCACATGCAGAAGACGATCACGCCCATGCTCCAGCTGTCGACGACGAGGTCGTATCCGTTCTCGTTCTCCTGCAGGACAACCTCAGGTGCAAGGTACGCGGGAGTGCCACACATCGTCTGTAGTTGCGTTGTACGTGAGCCGAGCCAGACATACGAGCGAAGAACTTACCCTCAGGTCAGAGTACGTGTTCGCGACCTTCGCGAGGCCAAAGTCTGCGACCTTCACATTCGGGAGTGGACTGTCTGTCAGGAGAACGTTCTCAGGCTTTAGATCGCGATGCGCGATGCCTTTGCTGTGGATGTACTGATGGGAGATCGCATGAGAGATGCACGACCGAACCATACATGAGGGACACGCACCGCAAGCGCATCACACAACTGGTACGCGAAATGCTTAGATATCTGCTCGCCTATGGGGCGTCAGCCAATACTAGATGCCGTGACGGGTTTCAACTCACTCAGTCTTTGTCGCGTAACGATGTAGTCGAGCAGATCGCCACCAGTAACGTACTCCAAGACCAGATCTGCATTGATCAATCAGTGTGTTTCCTCATCTGACCTCCTGCGGACTCACTGATCGTGTACTCCTCGAAGAACACTTCCTTCATCTTGCAGATGTTTGGGTGATCGAGCGATTCTAGGATGCTGATCTCGCGGTCGTATTTTGCATCGTCTCCTGCGTTCAACACAGAGTTCTGGCGCAGCTGCTTCCGTTGCATCGTCTTGATGGCGTACCACGCGCCAGTAGGACGATGGATAGCCTTCCAGACTGTGGCGAAGCATCCTCTACCCAGTTCCGTGTGCAACTGATAGAATGCGTTCATGCCAGAAGTGGGAATGCCGCCCGCCATATGTCTGAATACGAATCCTGGAATAAAGGTCAGATCTTTGCGATGTAGAAATCGAATGGGACATACGGAAGTCTTCGGCCGGGTTCTTTGCAGGCTGCATCGAAGAGGACCCGAACGAAATTTCGTTGCCATCGTATATGATGTGGCGAAGGCCTCTGCCTATCAGGTTTCCGTTGATCTAGCCATACGCCACACTGAACACCCGATCGAGTGATCTGAAACGTATGAACGCACGAATGTTCCGTTGCTCGAGAGATCCTCTACCACAATGGCAGCAGAATGTGTCTCTTTCTCGTCCCATGAGATTCGACAATGGTGATTACCTGCGCCACACTTTTGATGAGCGCGGTCAAGGAAGTGCGAGAGCATTGCACTTACTGATCTTCTTGGCGGGAAGAACGATGTTGTTATCCGTGGGATTGCGGCCGACGGTATAAAGCTTTTTGTTCTTGTTAAAGTCGATGCGTCGGAGGGTGTTGCTGCAAGGTATAAGGCAGCCCCAGAGGTGCTCGTCTATAGGATTGAATGCAGGTTGCGAGGCGGGCTGCGTTTGGGTGGCGGCTTGGGTAGACTGCGTATGTTCTTCACCTCCTTCAGTGATCATAGGCTCTCCAGCGGGATATATGGGCTCCTCCAGCATCTTGGCGATAGGTATTGTGTTGGCTGCAGAAAAACATCAATAATTCGTTACTTTCGGCACGTAATGAGACGTCAATTACTGTGTTCTCGGCGCGGGAAAGTGTAACAGAGACGAAAGGTGTTGAGATGTAGGGGGAGGACAATGGTTCTCCGAGATCAATGCACAAGGATAGCTCGCAAAGGTTTGCGGGGAGCCACACGAGTCGTAACCGGGAGTTGTGACAAAGGTTACAATGTGGCGCGCGACAATATATGCGAAAACGCGTAAGGTTGTGGCTCCGCGATGCAGGCGAGGAGTTGCGCAGGTGTGCGGTGGAAAAGCGATAGGAGATGGGTGCGGATAGAGGGACGCTGTTAATCTACAAAGCAGAGCCTCCGCACGGTCGACGCTGGGCGCCTCTTTGACTCTGGCCACGGCGCGGTTCGCATTGATCGTTAGTCAGCAAGGAGCCCATTTTGGGAGATTATCCTCTCACCGCCGGTTCACATATATGCGTCAAGTCTCCTGCTGTCCCGGCTCGTCGAGATTCAGCATTGTGCGGATGGATCCTCCCGCGCTTGCGCCTCGGTCTGGCGGGACACTGATGAACGGCGGCGGCGGCGAGGAAGACGACTCAGAGACCAAGTGATGCGGGGATGACAAAACGAGGAGAGGAGAGTCTGTGGATCAGGCTACATACGGCTGGTCTATATATCTTTTACTCTGCGACGACAGTTAATCTACGCATCTCGTTTTATGTTATGGTGGCCAGCGACATGCAGGAGGCTTTTCAGATGCCCACTTGAAGTCCCCTGTGCATCGATTCTGAGAAACGAAGCTCACATATTTTCGCGCCGAGAAGCTGCATTTTTACGTCTGTGATCACTGGCCACTACGGAGGGGTGATATTTTCTCTCAGAGTAAGCCAATAAATACCTCATTGATATCTCTCTTCGCTATGTGGTCATTGTGGTGTGTAAAATAATAATCTTCATCCGATAATTGACAGATCGTGTTTCATCCCCAACTTCTTCACCTTTGCGTGTTTCTACTTGAAACGTTACTCGAGTCGGAAATCAAGCTGCGGATGGCTGTGTTGCGCTTGCCATCAATAATATGTCTGTCACCACGGGAGCGATTCGTCAAAGCAGCTGTGCTTTGCTTCAAAGCAACATCAAGATGCAGTTCTCTGCAGATTCTCTTCTAGACCCATCGAGAGCACGGATTCAATGTCGACGCAGGTTTATTGTTCTCGTCAAAAACACATCTTTGCAAACATCTGGTGCTACTGATCAACTAACTCGCAATATCCAGGGAGCGACGCTCAATGCTGTGCTCGTAGTGACCCAAGAAGCTATGAAGAAGCTATGCTACAAGCAAAACATCCATCAGATGGAGATATCTTGCGCTCGGCTTTCTGTTGCATCATCGCTGCGGCGTTTGATATCGGTTGCTCCTGTCAGAGTCTCCTCACATAAATAGCATGGACGGGCAATGGCAGCCCTTCAGCTCTCCCGCACTACCCTGCTCGAGCCCAAGAATCAGCACTGGTTGGTGAGTGTCGTGCTTTCCCTACTGCTAAACGGCCATAAGCTGAGTCCTCGGGCAGCTTGATTCCTGTTACGACCCTTCACGCACTCCTTGTTGACGACCTCGAGACCTACGAGCCAAACCCACACTTCACAAAGCCTATCTAACGCTTCTTGCTAATACATCTGCGCCATGAGATCCTTCACTATTGCCGTTCTTGCTCTGCTCGGGGCAGCTGCTCCCGTGATGTCCTTCGGGTGAGCAGGATTTCCGCCACGACTACTTCTCAAAGTATAACCGCTCACTACCTGGTCTCCAGTTCCGGTCAGTCAAGCTACTCAGGCTACCAGCCCATGCACCGCGTCGGGGACGTCTACCACCCAATGTACCACCCGCAAGACGGCGCGTACCACGCGATGCATCCCTACCACGGACATGCACACCCGTCCACGGAGGACTACCACCACGGCATCCAACACATGCACAGACCGCTGCACGCCTACCGTCCGCACTATCACTACCACCTGCACCGGCCGTCATACTCGCATCTCGGCCACTATGGTCACCAGTACGTGATCGTCTGCACTCCGTTCTAGATTCCGTTCTAGATTCTGATGGGATGCTCATGGCCTTCCGTGATGTAGCCCGTACCATGCGAGGGAGGTGGAGATGAAGCGGACGGACAGCACATGCTCGAATAAGGCATTGTTGCAGAGGCTGGCGACGGAGGCGGGGTTGGATCCTTCGACAGAGTGAGTATCTCTTGCTGGCTTACTGTGATGTGCCCCTCACAATGACGCTCTCATGTCAGGATACAATGTACGAGCTAAGCGGAGGTTGGCATTGGCGTCGGCGTTGTGGATTTGAATTGTGAAGTCACTTGTACATGTATTCGTGTTGTCAGTTTCCTACCTGGAATGCGATGGTGTTTGGAGAGCTCAACTGCCAGTTCGCTCGTTGTTGAGCCAATCCAGGACAATGGTTTATGAAAGCTACATACGAGAGGCTTTAACTGCGTCGAGTTCTTGAGTGCATGAATTGCAAGTGATCTCCATGCGCATGCTCACGTTTACGAAGTATGCCGTACGAACTGTTCAGACTTCCACAAGTGACGGATTGATCGGTCGATTCTGCAAGACTGACGGAGACGCTGTCATTTGAAGAACTCCCAGCCATACAGTGGCCGGCGATATAAACACTCGTTTAAGGGTAGCGCGGAGAACGCGCGCGATACAAGTGTCCGATCCAGACTAGATGGCCGAGTTTGATGGCGGGCACTGCTGCATCCGGCTTCTGGTGCCTATAACTCATTTCCACCAATGTCTAGCACAGTTGGGAGAGCTTTGCGGTTGCAATATGCTTTACATCACAATTCTTCTTTCGTCTGCACCCCCAGCACTTTGATCCTCTCATTGATCATCAGGACCGAGCACAAGGATCCGAGGGACGATCTCGATCCAATAGCTACAAACCACCATCAAAAGCTCGTCCATCTCCAAAGAGAAAGAACAACTCACCCATCAGGATCCAAGATGAACGCAATGGTCTTCATGGCCCCGTCTGTCAACCTCTTCTTGAACGGCACGCCGAGGCGCTCGAAGCGCTCGCAGGCGGCGGCGACGTCGGGCACGGTGATGGCGATGTGTCCGAAGCCCTTGCCGGGGTCGCTGTTCCCGGATGCGTACCCCGCGAAGTTGGAGTCGGACTCGGTGCCGTGGTTGTGGGTGAGCTCGAGTACACCTGAAGAGGACGGTCAGCACCCAAGGAAAGGGATGAATCGGGGAGATGAAAGGAAAGATAGGAGGTAAAGAGATAAAACAGAACTCATTGATGATAATACATGCGACTGTACCCTCATCACCTCAAGGGAAGGGAGCACGCGTGGATGGTTAGCCCATTTCGTACGTCGGGCGTAACCCTACGTGGCTCAGACATTCATGGTGGGTTAGCACCGGATACCTATAAACGCAAGAAGAGGGACTGATGCGGGTCCGGACAAGAGTGACCCTCCTCAAGCGGATCCAGCCTGGTTCCGTCCTCACATAATAAGCCCTCTCAGCGCCCATCCCTGATGAAACATTGGGATCCGGCTCAAACAAGTGTGCTTCCCATGCATACAGGAATATGGACGTCGCATATTTTGGGTCCATTGCTCTACGATCGATCCCGATCGACTCGCTTCTGCTCTGAATGTAGCCAAGGGGAACACACCTTCACGATTAAATCGAGAGTCCTTCTTCTCCTTGGCAGATTCTACACCACCCGAGTGGTCGAACGCGAGGAAATAGAGCGTGAAGCTGTCGAACTTGTGGTCTGCGTGGTGTGTGAGCAGAGGAGAGTAACGTTGTATGGCACTAGAGGCGCACGGGAAAGCAGTTCCATGCCAAGCACCTGATCAAGCAGAGGGTATCAGTAAAAATTACATAGAACCTGATGGACCTTCGCACCTCGGTGTAGAACTTGACGGACACCTTGGGATCCTTGACACGGATCATCGTGTGGTTGAACTGCGAAGCATTGAGCATTTTCTGCGATTCACAAACACCGTGCACGCGCACCTTGAATCCTGCAGTCTCTGCGTTCGAAGCCATGATGAGCGCGTCTATGGAATGAGGGTGTTGAGGAGAGGGAGAAGGGGGGCAAATCGCGGCGATCTTATTGGGATCGAGCTATATGTACCCCGGATGAGATATGATGTCAAGATCTTATCGCCGATCGTATACACACGTCCGTGCGTCTTCGCGAAATGGCGCCAAGTTTCCTGCGAGAAAGGATACTCCTGCACTCTTTCTGAGTGCGTGCACTCGCGCGAATATAGATCGCATTCGTGATAGAGTGCAATGACGATAGCAAAGACAAGGCCAATCCTCGACGACGATAGCTGCTACAACTTTGAGTCTACAGAAGATCTTCTCCGTATCATACACGTCCAGTTATCTTCTCTACGACTTTGTCAGCCGAGAATACTCACGGAGAGTACCCCTTGATGATCTCAATCCAGTAGCTGCATGCGACACCCTGTCAGCTGGCCAGTCACGCCGGAGAAACACACCGCAATCACTCACCCATCGGGGTCGAGGATGAACGCGATGTGCTTCATCTTCCCGTCCGAGGGGCGCTTCTGAAACTTGACCCCAAGACGCTCAAAGCGCTCACAGGCCTCCTCGACGTCGGGCACGGCGATGGCGATGTGACCGAAGCCGCGGCCGGGCTCGCTGTTGCCGGACGCGTAGCCCTGGAAGTTGGGGTCTGACTCGGTGCCGTGGTTGTGCGTCAGCTCGAGCACACCCTCGCGCCCGAAACGCGTGACGTGGTCTGTGGTCTCGTTGCCGTGGTTGTAGGAGAGGAAGTAGAGCGTGAACGTTTCGAATTCAGCCTCTGTAATGTGATCAACCGATGCGGCAGTGAGAGATCGAGGGATTCGGGCTTACTGTCCGCGAGATCCATCCCGAGCACCTGAATAAGCATGCTGAGCGTCGGCGCTCGGGCATGTAACAGCAAAGGGCGGCATACCTCGGTGTAGAATTTCAGCGACACCTTCGGGTCCTTGACGCGCAGCATCGTATGGTTGAACTGAGAGGGTACGATGGTGAACCGCGAGCCCGCGATAACGCAACCACAGTCTGTCGAACCTTGTAGTTCGCGGTTTCTGCTGTGCGAGGCATTCTGGTCAGAAAGTTGCTGGAGAAGGACCTGGACGAGTTTGACAAAGGGCGTAGAGCGGATGCTAAGCAACGAGGAGCGAGATGGGGGCGAAAGGCAAGATACATTATCTAATGCACACAGGTGCCTTGCTTGCGGACTCCGTTACGGAGGCCGCGGTGAGACAGTGGCGGCCGTGAGAGACGCGCTCGTCACGCATGACGCGTCAAAGCGCGTGATCGCGCAAACACGCGCATACAGACGCGCCGTTTGACAAGGCACGTGCCTTATCATCCTTTCCTCCTGCCCTCATCATCCCCTCTGTTGTCCAACGGCGTATGTCGTCCTCCTTGTTTTCCTCTTCCTCACCGCCGCACGCGGTTCCCATCAAGTTTAGGCGCAAGAGCGTATCTTCATCCGATGTCGAGCCCGACCTCTACGACCTCGGCAGCGTGTGCTCGTCCTCGCCAACACGCGCCGCGTCGCGTCTATACCCCCACTCCTATCGCTCATCCTTTGTCTACCCATCCTCCTCATCATATACGTCTCCGACCGACTGTTCATCTTCTTCGTCCTCTCCAGCTGCACCCAGCTCGCCCGTCGAACAGGGCCTTGCTCACATCCGATATCAGTCCAGTCCCATTCACGCACATGAGCAACGCTATGGCTACCAGATCCGCGCACGCGACATGCGCGAGGAAGAAGCGATGTACTCACATTCATACGTAAAATCCGGATATGGATATGCGGCGAAGACGCCTGCAAGGTCGAGCTATTTTCGTCTGGGTTATGGGCACGGACAATCGCCTCGCTACGCCACGTCTACATCGTTCTTTTCATCGTTGAGCGAGGTTTCGGAGCCGGAGGAGCAGTCGTTGACGTCGGACATAGACGGCGCGTCTGAATACGAGGAGGAACGTCACAACGGTGAGTGAGTGTTCTGTTCCGTGATTGTTGAAAGGTGCTGGCTGGAAGAGAGTTTGCCGACGGTGTGGATGCGACGTGGGGGGTAAGGGGGGACTGACATGCGCCCGGCTGTGAGGATCGGCTGAACACCAAGGTTGCGTCTTCCAGATCGGGTGCCAGACCGCGCGTGATTCTTCCGTGACTGCCTGGCGTCTGTCTTCCACGGTCTCGTTTCCGAACAGACTGCCGCTTGTTCTCCCGTGAAAGCTGCGTTATTACGATCGTCGTTCACGCGTTGGCTTTGCGGAGTGTTCTCACTCCGCAGGCGGGGTAAGCTTCAGGCTCTCACGTTTAGCGTTTGTTGCGTCAGTTTAGGGGATGACTGGAGGAAGGGACGTGGTATCCATCAGATGGTCGGTCCGGCCCCGGAATTGCCCTGTGATCGATGACCCAGTGCCGAGGGGTGTTCGCCAGTACGCCTCGTGCCTGTCGGGTGCCACGACTGTTGTCTGGATAAGAGCGCCTGGGTTTGCATTCGCGGAGAGCGAGGGGAACGTGGGCATGAATGAGGGTTCTGTGCGCTGGCGAGATAGATGGATGTTGGTTCGCGGGCAAAGCTGCGATGTTGTGCTTGGATGGCCCGCGGGAAAGAAGGTGTTTCGAGCGCGGAAGGCGTCAAGTCCGCTAGCATTTAGGTCGTGCGGTTTATCCCCGCGTGAAGCTTGCTCTGTCTTGTCCTTGTGCTATCCCACGGCTCTGGAGTGTTGCTGATGGTCGTCGTTCTCTTCTCCCGCTCAGGAATCATTGGCGAGGACGATGACATGGCTCTTGGTGACGGCAATATCTTCTCGCATCAACGGCGGGTGTCGTTCTCGACGTCCGCAGAGCGCGATCAGCCATTCATTCTTACACGTCAGCAGCCGACGGTGAGGATGACGAGCTGTCCTCCGATCAAAAGCAAGACATTAGGCACGCTGTCGTTGCCACGCGAAAGACGGAAAGGCAAAGGGCGCGCGGGTGGGGAAGGGAGGGAGAGAGAAGGAGGTGTGGATGAATTGCGGTTGAGTGCCTCGTCGACGTCTCGGCGGTCATCGCCTTTATCGGCCGTCCGATCAAAGACGCCGTCTTCGGTGTTGCCTGTGCTACCCCTCTCCCCGACATCGCTAGCATCGTCGAGTCCTACGGATGGCTGTTCGTCGACCCCGACGAATTGCTCGCCCACTCCATTGGCCGTCAACGCTGACGTCTCGCCATCGCCGTCATCGTCGCAATCATCTTGTTCATCGTCGTGCTCCTCGGCATCGCCGTCAACCGCCCCTCCGTTAACTCCGCCGCCCATCGTTCATCATGTCATCCGTCCGTCTGCACTATTTGAACTGTTGAACCCTATGCCGGAACCGATGCTCCCATCGCAGATGGCAGTGGAGGAAAAGACACCTGCAGTTGTCCCGCATGCCCCTTCCGCATCATCGTCCCCTCGTACATCACCGCAACCGTCGGCCGACCCTGTTTCGATCAAAGAAGAGTCCTTGCACATTGATCAAGAACAGCCATCGTCTCAGCCAGTGAAGGCTGACGCCTCTGATGAGGGTGCATTGGCTGTCGAAGAAACTGAGGATAAGCATGTAGAGGCGTTGAGCCAGGTGCGTACATTGATCCAGCCAATGTCGCCGACTAGCTGACAACGTATGTAGAGCGTTGCAGACTGTCCGCCGCCCATCCCTTCATCACCCCTGATCCCTCTCACCCCCAGCCGCCCCTCGACGCCTGCAGTCAACTTGTCGTTCTCTTCTCCGCTGCCATCACCGACACCCACGCCTGAATCAGCACGCTCGCGGTTACGAATGAAGAGCATGGGGTCTTCGCCCCTGTCGTCGCCACCGTCGTCTCCTCGTCCATTAACGCAGGAAGAGGACAGAGAGCTAACGCCGCGGTTACGATCGAAATCTCCTGCGTGTGAGTTGGAGCCGGGGCCGGAGCCGCAATTGAGTGCAAGCATTGACGTGGATCCTGTGTCTGATGTGTCTTCGACGGTTGCTTCTACTCCAGTAGTCCTCACGACCAACGACGTCGTCGTTACCATATCCAAAATGGACCTGTTCTCAGAGCTCAGCATGGTCATCGAGGAGACGAAGCAAGAGGAGACAGATTCATTCATCAAAGCTAGTCCCTTACCTTCCCGCCCTCAATCACCTGCTCGCATTCTCGAGCAGACTGTCGCGTCGGAAGAGTCGCAGCTCTCCAGAAAACGAAGCATGTCCGCTCCCGAGGCCGAACCTGAGGTCAAACGGGCGAAGACCGCATCCTCGCCGGAGCCAGCGCCTGCTGGACCGAGCACGAATCATGACAGTCCTACCGAGAGGAAGGATGGCTCACCTCGCGTGCTCACTGCTTCGGGTTCTCGTGCTCTGGTGGACCTCGATGAGGACGCGAAGCCACCTCAGCCGAAAGCGTCCAAGCACCATGTAGCGCGGAAACGTCGAAAAGAGGACGAAGGCAGGCCCGTGAAGAAGCGTCGGCGAGTGGTGTTCTCGTCTGATGAGGAGTCGGACGAAGAGGATGCACGTTCGGTGAGCAAACCAAAAGTGCAGGAGAGGGCGAAGCAACAGGCGAGCGAGAAGGTGAAGGAGCAGACGAAGGAGAATAAATGCGAGCGGCAAAAGCACAGTACTTCCGGCTCAAAGAAGGCGGGAAAACGAGTGAAGCCGAAAGAGGATGAAGGTAGCGACGATGATGATGACCGTCATGCCCTCGTTGCAAAGAAGGCAACAAAGACGTCTTGTACCAAGGCGCAGTCCTCCGGATCGTCAAATAAGCAGCAAGCTAGCTCGAAACAGAAACGGCGCGAACCGTCTCCCAGCCTGATCGCATCTTTGCCTTTACCTCTATCGGAAATGCAAGGCATGCTCATCGAGGCGCTAGCTTCTTCTCGTGCGTCTTCCCTGCCTGCTTCATCGCTGTACAATTCGCTCGTCGCGGCTCGACCCACGCTGAAGGAAGCGCCAAGCACGAGACGCGATGGGCCGATGGACAAGAAGGAGTGGATGTCGAAGATCGAAGACGTACTTGAGGCCGGCCGTCTCTCGTGCGGAGTCTTTGAGAAGGTGGAAAGCAGAGGCAAGGTAAGCTCTGCCTCCGATGTAAGGCTTCACGTCAATTCATCATCTCATTGTCTCTATCAGGACACTGCGGACCACACACTGGAAGCCCAGTGGTTTTATGTACCTGAAAACGACGAGGACCAGGAACGAGCGATGCTCATCCGGAGCATGATGCCGCGCCCGGCGAAACGAACCGAGACGAAGAAATCAAAGCAGTACTATTGGCGCCCTCTGGGCAAGATTTCACGATGGGACCCTGAGGATGATCTGTAGCCCGCGTGGCTGCGGGACCTTTTTCTGCATTGCATTGTGTCATGACCTACGTTCTACGTTGCATAAGTTATGATTGTTCCGCGGATTTGATTTGCAGACCGGTTTATCAGGTGGTAGTAGTATAACGTCCGATGAACGCTACTGTAATGTCGTTTTGTGTCTGCGTTGAAGAATATAATTTACCACTCAAATTTTAGACTGCAGACTGCCACGTCATTGATACGCGTCGAAAGTGTTGTCTAAACAGGTGCAGATATGCAAATGTGGTGAGCTCCTCCATCGAGCATCATAGTATTCGAAAACTCGACGTGAACAATATTCTACGCTATGTTCTCCACTGGCTAACTTAGCACCAAACTATCCAACTGGTGTCATGATCCACAGCGCGTATCCCTTAGAAGTCTCCCTGGTGCGAACTGCCAGACGCACGGGGCATTCGAGTCCGTTACTAGCTGTATAAATAGACACAGTGTGGTTTTACTCACTAGTGGGGTCTGTGCGGCCTCGGAAGGCGAGACGCACCCATAGGCCTGTGCATACTCGGGTAGTAGCTGAGACGACCTGGTGCATGCATACCGGCCGAGTCGCGTGCGAAGACATCGACGAACTCCCTGGTCTTCTTCTTGTCCCTGCAGAAACTAATGAGAATGCACGAGGGCCAGTAGTCAGTGCGAACCCTTACTCGAAGATGTCATGGACGACAGAGACGCCATCCTTCTCGAGGCCTTCCCAGTTGACTGCACCACTGCCCAATGGCACGGCGCGGGCAATGAGCTCGAGAAGCTCGCGCTTGCTCTTCTTGTCTCCATCACTGTAGAAGCATCATGAATCAATGGCTGGGCACTGATGAACGGGAGACGGGACGACATACTCGAAAATGTCCTTGACGACATTGACACCGTCATGTACCAGGCCTTCCCAGTTTACGGCGCCACTGCCACCTAGCGGGACTGAACGAGCCATCAAGTCATCCAGCTCGCGCTTGTGGCCATCACTTATGAAAGACTCATCAATGATCGTATCCAGGCCGTTGTCGTCAGCGGTGCTTACTCAAAGATGTCTTTGACGACGTGGACACCGTCAGTAACCAGGCCCTCCCAGTTTACGGCACCGCTGCCCGCCGGGACTGAGCGAGCCATTAGGTCATACAGCTCGCGCTTGTGGCCGTCCCTAGCAGACCGTTCTCGTTAGACGAGATGTATGTTGAATGGCACCGGTAAAACTCACTCGAAGATGTCCTCAGCGACGTGAACGCCATCGTGCACCAGGCCTTCCCAGTTGACAGCGCCACTGCCCTGGGGAATGGAGCGAGCGTAGTATTCATATAGACCCCGCTTGCTTTTCTTCTTGTCCTTGTTCTTCTTGCTTTTGTGAGCGCTGGATGTAACCCTCAATCAGCTAGTCGTGCATTGTCATAGACTGTCAGGACATACCTGGAAAGGGCCTTTGCAGCTTTGAAAGCATCCTCGGCGACACTGAACCAGCCAAATGCCTCGCTGCCATCTTGAGAAGCACGGGCAGCGAGCTCTTGTAGGAGTTCATCGCGTGCGACAAGATCGGAATAGCTGGATACCGCTCGACGCTCAAGGGTCAAAGGGACGGACAAAACGGGCGTGGCAGCAACCACCGAGACAACGAGAACGAGAACGGTGGAAGTACGCATCGTGATCGAAATTGGAAGAGAGAGAAGGAGCTGAGGTTAAGTGTAGAAAAGTGAGAATAATTGCAAGAGTTGAAAGTCGAGTAAACGTGAATAGAAATGCGTAAAGATCGTTACAAAAATCAAGCTGTATGAGCCGAAGTCAGAGGCTACGTTGATTGCCGTGGGACTCTCTACTCACCAACCAGTGCCGACTTTCGGAGGCTCGAACGGGGGAGGAGGAGCTGAGGGATGCGGTTTCCACAATCGACTCTTTATACTGGTTGAGAACGTGAGTACGCGGCTGCCACGGGCACAAAGTCGTGATATCAACGCCCAAGTTGCGCATTGCACTGGTTTGCAACTGTCTAGAACCTACCGAGGCTGTTTGATCATGACTTGATACTTTGCTGCGCGGCTAAGGACGGGCAGATGATTATTCGGCTGAAATCATGACACGCGGGCGAAAGCCCTGGCCGGGGACGAATTTGGCGCTCAGATGTTCCTCGATACTGGCGTTCTCTGAGAGCACGTCGTCGCCGGCATGTCACAATTTCCTTCGTCTAGCATGGCTGCATATTACTATGTGAACATTGTCAAGTCAGCAGACAAACACAAATCATCAGAACAAATTCCCATGATGTCAAGTTGTCAACCAGCCGAAACATCGACAGTGGTTAGTTATCGGACGCCGTCCCTGTATCATTGACGGGCTGTATGTCCATGGAACCGAAACCGATGCATGTTGAACACCAATTCGTATCATGTACCGGACGCTGCATAGAGGTTACCGTTGCTCTCATCTGCAGTGTATATCAGATGGCGACTAAGAATAGTGATCGTGTGAGCTGGCATGTCAGATGGGGAAGCCACAAGACATCCCAGATCTCGACATCCAGCGACACGCGTGTGACGGCGCGCGAAAGCGAGCACAATCACCATCGTTTCAGGATGACCATGCTCTGAATGCATCTTTCGGATTTTATCACGCCGTAATCGAGCGCTCGTTTATAATTAGAAGTGAACGCACTGGCTGTATTCTTCGAGAAGATGTGTTTCACATTCATCGTGAATAGATGAAAACATCTGTCACAGAGTCAACTTGGAAGAGGCACGCCTTTTTAGATGCGTGAGGCCCAGTCCCCGTTCACGGCAGGCTGTACGACTTGCACCAGATCCTGCAGGCCGAAAAACACTATAAGACATTTGCTGGGGCAACATAGCATAACCACCACTGCGCTCTTCTGTCTAGCAACAATTGAACGAGGATTCACTGCATAAAGGATGGAGGATAAGAAGGAGTTAGCTGTCGACGAAGAGGGCTTGAAGTTGAACTTGACTCTTTGAGGCGGCTATGTCGAGGAACGGTCACATGGTGCCATTTGGCGCCGGAGCGTGTCGCCTGCCGCAGGCAGACAACAAAATACTTATCTCTTTCTTTTCAAAAGAAGAGAACCAGGACAATTATGAGGACAGAGTCAATCCAATTATCAGTATTTATGTTACCCGTAGGTTCTGTTTCGCATTGGTGGAAGTCAGGCGCTACAGTGGGGTCACTCAATCTTATCAGCCTTTATTATGAACGTCTCTCTACCACTGCACAAGGCGATCGATTGTTGTTGAACCTTGACACAACATCGGCTACGCGACCGTACCACCCTTGCAACATTCAAGCTTGCGACCAGTTGATGGGTGCCGGCGATGCCGGACGATTGGTCGGCCACTTGTTAATGTTAGAGAGAACATTGAGAGTGGCAATCGCCGCGCTGCCATCGTCGTCTGCGCGGGCAAGAAGCTCCTCTAGCTCCCGAGCATGATGCGCACTATGAGGATGGCGCGTCAGAATTCGTTCCATTAGAGATATAAAACAGCTTACCGGTAGCTGTCGAATCGAGGAGAAGCATGTGTCGGCGTGTGGTACACTGCAGGACCGTGTTCCATGTACAGGGTATTCTTGCGGGCGATCAGATCGGACAGATCGCGGCTCTTCTTATTGCTAGTCTTGTCTCTATATAGCGGAAGACCGTCAGCATTGCACAAGACGAAATGGATTATGAGCAGCAACGCACTCGACGAAGTGACCGAGACCCTCCAACCCATCGCCTATGAGACTGAAGATGCCAAGCGCCTCACTGCCTTGCTGTGGAGGCGCAGCGGCGGCGCGAGCTGCGAGGTCATAAGCAATGGCGTAGTCACGAGCCGTGAGGTCACGCTTGCTGCTCGTCTTGGACCTGGAACGCCAAGTATGATTAGCTGATGAATTCGTTTCACAGGCAGCAGCTTACTCGATGAGATGTCCGAGCCCCTGCAGCCCATCACCTATGAGGCTGAAAATTCCAAAGGCCTCACTGCCTTGCTGGGGAGGCGCTGCAGTGGCGCGAGCTGCGAGGTCGTAAGCGATGGCATATTCACGAGCCGTGAGGTCACGCTTGCTGCTCGTCTTGGACCTAGAACACCAAGTATGATTAGCTGATGATTTCGTTTCACATGCAGCAGCTTACTCGATGAGATGTCCGAGGCCCTGCAGCCCATCACCGATGAGACTGAAGATGCCAAGCGCCTCACTGCCCTGTTGGGGAGATGCTGCAACTGCACGTGCTGCAATGTCCTGCGCGATGCTGTATTCACGAGCCGACAGCGGTGCGGACATTGCGGGAGAAGCCATCAGGCAAAGAAGGGCGACAAGGGTGGAGAATGGAGCCTTGAACATCATCTTGAACGAAGTACGAGAAGCGCAAAGATGCGGATGCTGGAGGTAGAGTAGAGTCGTAAGGAGTCGTTAAAACGTGATACTAGAACGAATGTGACAGAAGGACTACAAGTTATATTCATTAGTATGCTGTTCAAAAGGTCGGACGCTTCATGCTCACCAACCAGTGCCGACTTCTGAGGCTCGTGAGACTACCGCTGAGGAGCTGTAGATCGCTGTCGGCGAATGCTGCATTTTATACCTCGAGGATGGCCGCCAAGGCCTGTCTCCTCTTAGCAGAACGTGTTACAACAGCGTTGTGTCCGACTATTGCAGTGCGCTACACAGCAGCCGAGGTGATGTACCAGTGCAAATCAAACGCTGAGCCAGGATGCTCGGGATGCTCGGCAGGGACATGCTTAGTATGAACGAACTCAATCGCATGGGCAGAGCATGGGTGCAGGTGCGCCAAGCACCGAATGCTAGATCGATATTATCGCTTCTGGCATCTGTTGCGGCGGAAGCAGCAGCAGCGCACTGGGTTGTATTTTCCATAGTGAAAGAAACATAGACGAGCAAGGAATGCCTCTCATAACAACTCACGCGGGTACCATTCCCCGAGAATCCCAATCATCGGCATTCGGAGGGCACAGCGTTTCAGAATTTGATGCGCCTCTGATACCGAAGACGCGGATCATTCTGGCCTAAACTCGGTGTTTCATGTGCAAGACGACGGAATGAGCCAGTCGGCCGCACGCCGCTATCTGGCCATTCCTCTAGCACGAAGATTGTCTTTTTAGTTGCACTCTGAAAATTGAGGTCGCACGGCAAACCGTCAGGCTATGGACTGTACTGTCACTGTCCAGGCTGGTAAGAGAAGTCGCAAGAGATTGCAATGCCGTACACGCTCAAAATATCAATACTTGAGCATGCATTTGAGAAACATTGAGACACGGCCTTCACGGTTGCCTTGTCCGTGATGAAGCAGCATGGGAGCAACCGACTGACACGTCTCATCATGCTCTGGGCGCGAACGCATCACCCCTTCTCCGGCATCATCGCCTGGCAAAGATCGCTACGGTCGAGCATATTGCCGGAGGTGGGATATAACCAGTTCTTCTGTCCAGCGAAAAACCTCAGTATGTGTGACGGCAGAGCATAGATGAGAGCAAGCATCAGGCAAGGGGAAGCGCGCGCCTGGGAGCGTTGTTTAGCGCACTGCATCACGCTCATGTGACACGACGCGACGCGATTGTGGCAAAGCATTCGAGTCATTATCATACATTCCCGCATGCTCAATGATGACCATTTGACAGCCTGGTCAGCATAAGTAACGGCAAGATGTCGTGACAATTATCAAATTCCGCACATATATATGAACAGCTGCCTAAGCGAAACTATTTCGACTTCGTCCCCTTCCTGTATTCTCACAGTGGCAGAGAGCACTCACGATACAGGCGTCCCATACATGATATCTGCAGGCTAAATAAGAGGTTCTGCTACCATACAAGGCGAAAATCGATTTGCAGCATTTCACATCTCCAGGTATGCCATCATTATTCTGTCTTATATGGGACTTTACACTGTGGATACTCCTTATTCTTACTATCAGGCAGAACATTATAAAATACATCCGTTCAAATTACGGGTAATCCCGAAGGTGTGACAAGTAATACTATCAGAGAAAACACACGAGACAAGGCTAACCATCGCGCAGGCGTCCTGAGGAGACTGTCCACGGTGCCAGCGAAATCAAGCCACGTACTATGACCTTGTCACTTTGCATAAAGAAATCCAAGCACAACCACGTAACTCGAGATTTTCGTGATGACTGAAGCCTTCATACCCGCTATTGCCCGCTGGCGAATTGTGTACCATACAATTCATATACTTGTGGATCCTCGCGCGTTCTTGACGGACGAAGGATGCTGCTACGTGCAACACCAAAGTGTACATTTTGCTGACTTTTGGTGCATTAATAGTATTGTCTAGGCATATCGATCATAGCAGGATATCACCAAGAGTACCGAGTACAACAGCCTACAGTAATATATCTGGTATCCCAAGCAAGCAAACAAACAGATGAGCGACAAATCCACCTCGATCTTCCGCCCTACACCTCACTGACACCATTCCTGCTCCATTTAAACCGAGGCGAGGCTCAGCAGCGCCGCACCGCTCCCACCGACAGTCGAGAACGTAATGGGCAACGACTCGCCCTCCTTGTCCGACTTGGACGTGCTCGTCGACGGCTGCACGGTCGACGTCGCCTCCCTCGCAAACTGCAGGTTCTGTGCCTGGCTGATCGTCGTGCGATCCCACGCGCGGCTGGTCGCGACGCGGAGGACGATGAGCTGCGGCGAGAGGCACTGTAGGTACAGGTCTCAGTCAGACCCCACTTCATGAGCAGACACAGAAAGAGCACTCACCGTGAGCTTCGCCCACACCTGGCCAAACGCGATGTTGACATCGCTTTCGCGCGCATACAACACGAGGAACATGATACCGAGCGTGCTGTATGGCGCGGCGCTCTCGATCATGAGTACGGCGAGCCCCGTGTAGAGCTGCGCGCTCTCCCTGCCCACCGCAACGCGCACGAAGCGCGAGAAGTACACGAGGCGTGCGCAGATGAGCAGCGTCAGGCAGATGTTGAGCGCAATCGAGAGCGAGTAGTACGGCACGCCAAAGTGGACGGACTTGCCCGCGAAAAAATCCCCGCCGGGGACGCCGGCGGAGACGAGCTCGCAAATGGAGAGGGCTGGGAGAAAGGAGAAGCGTGAGTGGGCGTGAGATTGTGAAGAGTGGAAAAGTACCGAAGGCAGCTACGTAGATAAGAATAGGCAGAACGACGATGGTCAAGCGGGATCCCCAGAGGATGAAACAGAGGTAGATCTGCAGGAGCCATTCACAATTGATCCGTAACTCACATTGCAGCCCAGTCACTCACCAGCAGTGCATCGCTCATGAATATCAGCGCGACAACAGATGTCGACGACAGTTGCTCGTACCACACTGTGATGTGCGTCGCGATGAACTCGGGCACACCACCGGGCTCATCGCGGAACGTGATCCACATCTGCTCACCCCACACGGCGTTCGTCGACACGTCGACCGTAAGCAGGAGCAGCATGACCGTGCTGTACACCATAAAGAACCGGTCACTCCGCCGCGCGTCAGACTTTGTTAGCAGCGCTCGCATCGTCGTGAAGTACATGATGAGATCGACGCCTGTTGGTGATAGAATCAGGGCATCAAGCTTTGTGCACCCTGCGCAGTCGAGTGGAGGACGCACCGTAGAGGATGGCGCTCATCTGGCCGCCGATATAAAAGGCATGCTCGGAGACCTTGGTCGACATCGCGATTGTCGATACTCACAGGACGGGAGAAGGGGAAAGGAGGGGAACAGATGAGGCCCGGGGCGCGATTATCAATGAATTATGTACAGTTCTCCATTAGTTTGCTGTTCAAACGATCGAGGAAAGAAACAGTGCGCGTGCGTCACCGCCTTGCTGTCTGATGGACGTAGCGCGTTGTGCCTGGCGAACACAGGGGTAACTGACAGACAGATGCAGATGCTCTCTGACAGGAAAGGCCCCGCCCCCCGCTAGCGCTGGCCGAGCCTCACTGCCCCTGCTGTCCTGCTGATCTCCGAAGTCAGAGCTGCTGCTGCGGTGAATTTGCATATGCATTACGTCCTGCAATCGACGGCAGCGGTATGTGTATGCGATCGATCGTTCGCGGAAGCAATATTGCGATGCTGTGTCAGTGGCGCTGTTTACTATCATTGGCCCTCAGTTGCAACTTTTGAGTTCCTGTAGTCCGTGAATTTGTCTGATTGACTCCGAAACTATTCCAATAGATGGCTATGCTTCTAATATAACTTTGGCACTTTTTTCCACGCTGGATTTGTGAGATGTTCATGATACCGAGGCGCTGTAGGTTACCAAAGCCGCGGTCAACTAGGCGCCCATATTCAAGCCGTCCTCTCCCTCTCACCGAGTCGCCACTCTTCCGTTGCCACACCTCACACTCCACTCAATGACCCACGTATCTGAAACTCTCTGCGTGTATCACCATCCGCTCAGTGAAAGGCGAAAGGCGGAGCGACGCGTACCTATGCAGTCTTTGTCTCGTCGTCATCCCGAAAACTCGACAGCAGGTAGCACCCCATATATTCGCTGCAACGCTACTATGCCACCCGAGCCTCCGTCCGCACCAGAGAATTCGGGTAACATTTGAGGTGGCGGGATTGCGACACGACTACCGCAAAATACGTGGTCAGATGTTTTACCAACTATCAACAATACACTCATGAACGTCGCTCCCTGTGCAAGCAAACAAACCGAGACGGCCACAAATGGTCAAACTGTTAGTCAGCCTTACCAATTACGTCCGTTACAGTTTGTGTGCTTACCGTGTTTTATGCAGACTCATGGACGAGGCGACGCGCAAGTCGCTTCCCCGTCTGAGCTACTCTCCCCAATCCTGGGGGAGATGAACTAAGTCAGCTTGATGGAGCTGGGACCATACGCGGAGATGGAATCATGATCGCTATGGCGGAGGACAACAATGTGCTATCAGTGAGTCTGTGCCAGGGAATCACAACGAACACACTGACCTTCGTATAGTTGCATCCACTCAATTCGTCGGATGACGATGAGGAGCTGGTGGATCCATTCGGGCCAGAGCCTGAATCGATCCTGTTCTCGCGTTTGGGACCATATAATGTGGTCTCTGTGGCCTTGGACAAAGAATCAGAGCCTACCATGGCCTATCCACGTACATATATGGACAATAGGCGGTCTCTTACTTCAATGGTGAGAACGTCACCCACTCAGATTTAACCGGGCTGTCTCTTACAATCAGTGCCGCCGTGTGCACATTATCAGACAAGCGTCATCTCACCTCAGTGGATCTCGCGTTCGAGCGCCACCACCTTGAACAGGAGAGGCGATGGAACGCACCAGAGTCAGGCCAGTCAGATGGCGACGAAGATCGCTCACCAGGCCACGAGGGCAAGGACTGCATTCACATGGCTTGGCCCAATGAAGGAAGCAATAGCGAAGCGCGTAGGCCACGCGCCAGCTGCAATGGACTTTGGCCACAACAAGAGCGCGGGCCACATGCAAAGGACACCGACGCCAATGCGCAAGGGAGACCGTCATCCCTTGAGGCTACCATCAAGCTCCCCCTCCATCTGTCTTCTCGCAAGCGATCGCAGGACAATAGCACGTCGGATAACGGGAGATACTTGTCCACACGAGTGCATCACGAATCGACGGGAAGGAACTCGAGCAGCATCCCCAGTCCAGCTGCAGAGCGAAAGAACAAAGTCGTGGGCTAGTTGAGAACTACGCGAGCGTTCGATGACTTCTTGGACGCCGTAGCGGCGAAGATACTAGACGCGCAAAATCAGGCACAAGGGCACAGCTTGGACGAGCTTCTGGAGATGGGGAGCGATGCGTATCGATGCCGGCTATGAGTCAGTGGACTTTGATTCTAGCGAAGAGGAGGAGGGGAACCGGGGCGAAAACGAGATATACGGAAAAGGTGCCAGAAAGTGTTGAAACCTGTGCTATGCAAAGAACTTCACATTTTTGTCATTGGATCTTGAACGTTCAGCTCATGCATTCTACAAGAGCAGCTCGCTACGCGTTCTCGGATGGTGCATCTCGAGTCTGCCAAAGCAAACAATTGCGCGGCCTTCAGACGGTGCTTTTGTCCTTGGAGAAAGCAGTGCTGCCAACGATGTGCGAGAGCAATGAGCAGGTATATCGTGACTTTAGGAAGACTTTGGTATTGCGAAGAAAGAGGAGGCCCTGCCCTGCGACACTTGAAGAGAATCGCAGCTGCCAGCGGCGCTGCGGCAGCTATCTAACGAGCGCGAAGCGTCCGCGCTTCGTGAGAGCAGCGCTATTCGCGGTCATGTGATTATCCTAGACTCAACGCGACCCCGGTTGTGGCGTGCGAGGGCGCACGCCACACACATATCTACTCCAAACTCTCTGACCTTAGCCTTCTCGGATACACAAACGAGGAGATCATCATATTTATATCATATAAATAAAACATTGGAATGTTTCAGGTCGCCTCCGTTTCGCTGAAAACTTTTTTTTTTCTCGTGTGGCACCTCGGCGAAAAAAAGGGAAGATCTGCGACGATCGTCGTCTCACCCACGCAGTCTAACGGCATGTTCAAATGTTCACGAGCCTTGCAATGAAAGATGGGACTCAGAAATGTAGGCCGCGTCAAATTGTGGTCCCGCCTCATTTCAACCCATACAATATTCCAATTCTGCGAGGTATCGAGCGAGTGAGAGGCGTTCTCCTTGGACCTCTTATCTGGTGATGGAGAAGACTGGAAATGACCCATAACCACTCATAAAGATCCAGAGATGATAAGGACTTACAGGCAAGTCTCGACTGCGGCGATGTCTATGGCGCACGCCACTGCAGCACGTCAACGGGATAAACCATGAATAAGAGATGGGGGAAAAAGGCTGCATGGACAACGGGTGGCTGTGAGGACGTATGCGAGAGAAATATGATGATAGGCACGGACACTCGTTGAATGGGCTTAAGAATATTCTACAAGATTGTAATTAGCTATTATGTCCGAGCAAAGAGGAACACTAACACACTACCGCGGCTTACAGAGCGACGCTAGCGACATCACGGGAAAAATCTGTCAGCACAGGCCCACGCGGGCGGGCCATTCCGGGGGGCACTGTGGGCAGCCAAGCCGTGGTGAACTAGACGCCCATGTTCAAGTCGCGCTCTCCCTCTGCCACACCTCACACTCCGCTCAATGGCTCACATATCTGGAGCTCACGTCGCATATCACCAGCCGCTCGGCGAAGGACGAAAAGCGACACGACGCATACCTATGCAGCCTTTGTCTCGCCGTCGTCCCGAAAACTCGACAGCAGGTAGCACCCCATATATTCGCCGCAGCGGCGCTCTGCCACTCGATCCTCCGTCCGCAACAACGGATCTGCGGAATATTCGAGGTGGTGGGACTGCGACACGACCACCACGAAGAGTGTGGTCAGACGGTTTACCAGCTATCGACACCACACTCATGAACGTCGTTCCCTATGTAAACGCACAAACAGAGCCAGCCAACGACGGTCAAACTGTTAGTCAGCCAAACCATCTTTGTCCGTTACTGTTTGTGTGCTTACCTTGAGTTATGCAGACCCGTGAACAAGGCGATCAGCAAGCCGTTCCTCTGCCCGAGCTCCTTTCCCCCATTCTGGCAGAGATGAAACTGGGTCAGCTTGAAGGAGGTGGAACAGTGCGTGGTGATGGGATCATGGTTGCTGTGATTGAAGAGCGCAATCCACTGTCGGTGAGTTTGTGCCAGAGGATCACAATGAACACACTGACCTTCATATAGTTGCAGCCACTCAGTTCGGATGACGAGGAGGAGGAGCTGGTGGATCCATTCGGGCCAGAGCCTGAATCAATCCTATTTTCACCTTTGAGACCACATAACGTGGTCTCTGTGGCCTTGGACAAGGTGCCAGAGCCTGCAGTGATCTATTCAAGTACATATGCAGACAATAGGCGGCCTCTCACTTCAATGGTGAGAGAACCATTAGCTCACATTTAACCGAGTTGTATCCTTACAAACAGTGGCACCATGTGCACATTGTCAGACAAGCGACGCCTCACCCCACTGGCCATCACGGTCGAGCGCCACCGTACTATCCAGCCACTTGAACTGGAGAGACGATGGAACACACCGGCATCAGGCCAGTCAGACGGCGACGAAGACCATTCATCAGGACCAGAAGGCGGCGACTGCATTCAGCCGGTTTGGCCCGATGAAGGAAGCGATAGCCAGGTGCACGAGCCGCACACCAGCTGCAGCGCACTCCGGTCACACCAGGAGTATGGGCCACATGCAGGTGACACCGAGACCAATGCGCAAGGGTGACTGTCATCCTTTGAAGCTACCTTCAGGCTCCCCCCTTCGTCTATCCTCTCGCGCACGATTGCAGGACGACAGCGTGTCGGATAATCAGAGATACTTACCCAAAAACGTGCGTCATGAATCGACGGCAACGGATTCGATCAGCATCTCCGGTACGGCAGCAGAGCGGAAGAAGAGGGTCGCGGACCGGTTGAGAACTACTCGAGCGTTCGATGACTTCTTCGAGGCCGCAGCGAGGAAGATATTGGGCGAGGGAGATGAAGCATAAGGGAGCGCCTTGGACAAGCATCTGCAGGCGGGGAGTGATGCTTATCAACGTCGGATGTGAGTCAATGATCCTTGACCTTACCGGAAAGTGAGAGGAGGATTGGGGCGAAAATCCGTTGTACGGGAAAGATCTCAGAAGGTATAGGAACTGGTGCTATGCAAGGAAGTTAGATTCTTTCATATATTGGTCATTGGGTCTTGAATTTTGAATTTGGGTGTCCAACCGATGATTGGTACAAGAGCAGCTTGCTATTTGTTCTTGGAGGGCACAGCTCGAATCTCGTAGGACCAAAGCAAACAATTGCGCGGCCTTCAGACGGTGCCTTTTTTCTTGGTGGAAGCAGTGCTGCCAACCATGTGAAAGAGTGAAACGCAGAATGCGCGGATATATCGTGACTTTATGAGGACTTTGATATCGCGAAGAATGAGGAGGCCTGCGACACTTGACTCAGAATCGCAGCGCTGCCAGCGGCAACGAGCGCGCAAAGCGCTCCTTTAGAGCAGCGTTATTCGCGGTCATGTGATTATTCTGGACTCAACGCGACACGGTTGTGGCGCGTGCCACACGAATCTCTACTCTAAACTCTCAGACCGTAGCCTCTTTGTACATACAAATGTGGAAGACTCCGTATTCGTATAATATAAACAAGACTTGAAAACGTTTTAGGTGGCCACTGTTTCGCCGGAAACTGTGTGCTCTCGTGTGGCGCATCGGCAAAAAAGGAAGGTCTGCGGCGATTGTCGTCCTACCCATGCAGTCAAATTGTATGTTCAGATGCTAGCGAGCCTTGTGATGAGAGACGAGAGTCAGAAATATAGGCTGCATCAAATTGTGGCCCTGCCTCATTTCAACCCATACAATATTCCAATTCTGCGAGGGATCGAGCGAGTGAGAGGCGTTCTCCTCGGACTTCTTATCTGGTGATGGAGAAGACGAAAAAGGACCCATAGCCACTCATAAAGATCCAGAGATGATAAGGACTTACAGGCAAGTCTCGACTGCGACGATGTCTGTGGCGCACGCCACTGCAGCACGTCAACGGGACAAATCATGAGTCAGAGATGGGGGAAAAGGCTGCATGGACGACGGGTGGCTCTGAGGACGTATGCGAGAGAAATATGATGATAGGCACGGACACTCATTGAATGGGCTTAAGCATATTCTAAAAGATTGTAATTAGTTATTATGTCCGAGCAAAGAGGAGCACTAACACACTACCGCGGCTTACAGAGCGACGCTAGCGACATCACGGGAAAAATAAAAATCTGTCAGCACAGACCCACGCGGGCGGGCCATTCCGGGGGCACTGTGGGCAGCCAAGCCGCGGTGAACTAGACGCCCATGTTCAAGTCGCGCTCTTCCTCTCACCTCGCCACTCTTCTCCTGCCATACTTCACACCCCACTCAATGGCCCACGTATCTGGAGCTCACGTCGCATATCACCAGCCGCTCGGCGAAGGACGAAAAGCAGCAAGACGTGTACCTATGCAGCCTTTGTCTCGCCGTCGTCCCGAAAACTCGACAGCAGGTAGCACCCCATATATTCGTCGCAATGCTACTTTGCCACCCGAACCTCCGTCCGCACCAACGAATCTGCGCAACGCTAAAGGTGGCGAGACTGCTACACGACTACCGCGGAATACGTGGTTAGATGGTTTACCAACAATCGACAATACACTCATGAATGCTGCTCTCTATGCAACCACACAAAATCAAACGGCCAAGAACGGTCAAACTGTTAGTCAGCCTGACCAGCTACGTCCGTGAAATTTTGTGTGCTTACCTTATGTAATGCAGACCCATGGGCAAGGCGACAAGCAAGCCACTCCCTTTCCCGAATTACTCTCCCCAATCTTGGGGGAGTTGGAACTGAGTCAGCTCGAAGGTGGTGGGACAGTACGCGGAGATGGTATCATGATTGCTGTGATTGAAGACAGTAATGCACTGTCGGTCAGTTTGCGCCTGAAGGTCACAATGAACACACTGACCTTCATATAGATGCGGCCGCTTAATTCGGATGACGATGACGAGGAGCCGGCAGACCCGTTCGGGCCAGAGCCTGAATCAATCCTGTTCTCACCTTTGGGACCAAAGAATGTGGTCTCTGTGGCCTTGAAAAGTGACTTAGATGCTGGGCTGGCCTACCGGAGCACGTATATTGATAATGGGCGGCCGTATACTAGAACGGTGAGATCCTCATTTTCCCAGATTCTCCGACTTGTCTACTTACAACCAGTGCTTTCTCATGCTCGACGACAGGCGAGCCACATCTCGTCTCAGCGAACCCCATGGCCGAGCGCCACAACACCAATACGCTGCTTGTATAAGAGAGGTGAGGGGGGACCGCACCAGCATCAGGCCGGTCAGACAGCGCCGAAGACTGCTCAGCTGGCTATGAAAGCAACAGCTGCACTCAACTGGCTGGGCTCGATGAGCGAAGCGATAGCCAAACGTGCAAGCCACGCACCAACCGCAACAGACTCTGGCCACAAGAGGAGCACGGGCCACATGCCAGCGATGCCGACACCAAGATTCAAGGGTAGCGGCCATCTCTTGAGGCTACCATCAGCCTCCCCCCTACATTTATTTTCTCGCACACGTTCGCAGGATGACAAGACAGCAGATAACCGGGCATGCTCATCCACAAGCGCACATCATCGATTGACGGCGAGGGACTCGAGCGGCATCTCCGATGCAGCTGCAGAGAAGAAGAAGAGGGTCGTGGGCCGGTTGAGAACTACCCGAGCGTTCGATGACTTCTTCGAGGCCGCAGCGGGAAAGATATTGGGCGATGGAGATGAAGCAGAAGGGGACGCCTTGGACCAGCTTCTGGAGGCGGTGGACGACGCTGGTAACTATCAGATATGATTTAGTAATCTTTGGGCCTACCAGGAAGCGAGAGAAGGACCAAGGCGAGAATGACATGTACGGGAAAGGTCTCGGAATATATTGTAACTTGCGCTATGCAAAGAAGTTGGCCAAATTGTTTTCTTTCATGTTTTGTTATGTAGTGAATCATTGAATCCTCACCTTTCATAATGGATGTCGAACCCATGCATTCTACAGGAGCAGTTCGCTATGTGTTCTCGCAGGGTGCATCTCGAGTCTCGTAGGGCCTTCAGGTGGGGCCTTTGTTATCGGAAAAAGTGGTGCTGTCGACGGTGTGCGATAGCGAGATCCACAATACCAGCAAACATTTCGGGATTTCGGGAGGAATTTGATATCGAAAAGAAAGAGAAGACCATACGACAGTTGAAGAGAATCGCAGTACCGCCAGCAGCAGGCCGTCCGACGAGCGCTCAGCGCACAAAGCTTTCGGCGCTTTGAGAGCAGCACTATTCGCGGTCATGTGATTATTTGGGGCTCAACGCGACACGGTCGTGGCGCGCGCCACACAAATCTCTATTCCAAACTCTCAGACCTCAGCCTCCTTGTACATACAAATGTGTATGCTTCCGTATTCGTATTATATAAACAAGGCTTGAGAACGTTTCAGGGTGGCCTCTATTTCGCCGAAAACTGTGTGCTCTCGTGTGGCGCATCGGCAAAAAGAGAAGGTCTGCGACGATTGTCGTCCTACCCACGCAGTCTAATTTTATGTTCAGATGCTAACGAGCCTTGTGATGAGAGACGGGACTTGAAAACGTAGACTGTGCCACATTCCGATCCTATTCCACTTCAATGTACACAACCCTCCAGGTCCATGAGGGATCGAGCAACTGAGGGTGCTCTTCTCGAACTTCTGATCCGGCGACAGATAAAACGGGATCCGGCCTAGCACTCACAAAAAATTCACAGATGATAAGAATCTACGGGCAAGTCTCGACTGCAGCGATGTCTGTGGCGCACGCCACTGCGGCACGCCATCGAGACTGTCACAGATTTTCGCCACAAAGTCCGCACGTGACTTTTCTCACACTACAGATCACGTGCTTCACCAATATCTCA